CGAACGTACCTTGCCAGAGTGCTCAAACTGACAAGTCAGTGAGCTCTGTACATTGTATACATAGGTGTGCTGGTAAATCCAACAATTTTGAAGCCAACATAAAAAAGGAAGAACCCCCCCCCCCCCCCTTGGCTGCATTTTCTTGCATGTGTGCCTTTATAATAATAATATCCATCACCATAGGTTCTGGTACTTCTGCATGACAGGTGCATGTACTTGACTGACAGGTACTTGAAATAGCTGTCAAAAGCCCAGAAAGTCGTTATTCAAGCAGTGAATATGACCTCGGGGCACTAAAAGCATGTCGCTATACGCGAATTGTCGTTATTCAGATAGTCGTTATATCCGAAGTTAAATGTATACAGTTAGATGGGACTTTGCTCTGGGCATAGAAATTCGGTCGTTATTCGCGAATTGTCGTTATATCCGCAGTCGTTATTAGCGAAGTTGACTGTATATCGAATACTCGAGCGCTTGCTCGAAAATTCGAAAGGAGTGAGGACTCGCTTCGCAAAATACTCAAAGTATCTTATGCACAGTGTACTGTATGCTTGTACATCAAGCACGTCTGTTACTCTGACCAGTACTGATAACCCATGCAAGTGTGAAATTATTACTTGTCCCTACTTACGAACGAAAGACGTAGTTCAGACTATTTCCTGCACTAGGCTGCATGCAAGACTACATGAGTATCAGGTGTAATACGTTCAGTGTTACGAGAGTGTGTGCAGTACATTGTTTTATGTTGTCAGTAAAATACTCGTACTCGCTCGAATACTCGCTCGTTTTTTCAAAGAGTACTCAAGTCCTCAATTTTGGCACTCGTTTCACCCCTAGGCCAAACATGCATACACTGAATGCCTGTGCTCTGTGCACTCTGTGCTTGTGCAGGTCAAACCGACTGCCAGGTCCTGTCACCACCGGCACTGGGCTCAATGACCGTGAACGGCTTGATGTTCAGCAACACGACCACGTTTGTGTGCACATCTCCCTATGTCCTTATGGGCTCGGCCGTGCGTACTTGTGAAATCAACGGCCAGTGGAGCGGTGTGCAGCCAGCTTGCGTCCGTAAGTACATGTACCTATGCTCGACTGGCTTGTATTATGCATTCCCGTTCATCACACCGCTCATACTGTCAAATGCTGCCTCTTCTCATTCACAATGGCATGGGTCACATTAGATAGGCCTGGTGCAGGTATTGCCAGTTCCTTGCTTGCTGCAGTACAGTATGACATTAACTTAGCTGGTAAGCAGTGCATGTGTCCATGGCAAGTGTTAATTTTGTCCATTGCTTCCCAACCCATGTGTAGTGACGACTGCTGCTCTGAGTGCGGCCAGTGACGAGCTAGTCAAGGACTCCGTCTCAGAACGCATGACACAAACGTGTAAGCCTAGTATTGCTGCATAATTGAGAGCAATTTCTCCTACTGCTGACTGCTGAAAATGTTGTGTCCTTCACAACTAGTCTCTTTGTTTTAAGAAGTCTGCCTCTTTCATCGATTCGTGTTTACCTAGCTGCGTTACGCTATTAGTAGCCTATTACCTGTTGTGCAATGGGGCTGGCCTAAAAGCTGCTCGCTCAACAGTTGTGTTGAATGGCATAGAGGGAGAGACGCCAAGCCGCCTCGGCATATTTGCGGATAGAGCTTTTATTAGAAAGGAAAAGGACATATGGATACGAGTTAAGAGTAACTGTCCACCACTGTAACTAGCTACTACAGTAAAAAAAATGCAACAACTAGGCACAAAACTGACAGAGTGCTGAGACATTCGACGACCTGACTCCTAGCTTCAACACATCTCCGTAGCGCTAACCAACAGCCTTCCAACTTGGAAGGTTCAAGGTTAAAAGGAGAGACCAAAGAGGGGAAGGTAAGCGCAACGAAAATGAGCACAAGCTAGTAGTTGAAGCTACAGTCCCACAAGAACAAGAAATGTTGATTGTTACTGGACGATGACGAAACCAGTATTACCTTTCCCTCTTTGGTCTCTCGTTAACACTACGGAGATGTGTTGAAGCCAGGAGTCGGGTCGTCAAATGTTTTAGTGCCTGGTTGTTGCACTTTCTGACTGTATTTAGTATATAGTGACAGTTACTCTACACTCATATCCATACGTCCTTTTCCTTTCTACATTAATTTTTTCTATTGCCATATTGGCTCAATATCCGAGTTTCAAAGAGCTTTTAGTGGACGACTTAATCCATTTTCGGCAATACTTACAACGATCCAATCAGTCATATTGTAGATCAGGCTATGCTGTGGGTAAGTATACTACTGGCCTTGTATGGCTTATTGTTTGCCAGCGAGTATTTAGCATCATCTACTAGTATTCACTCGTTTGACAGCCAAAGAGTATTTGTGTGGGAGGCTGGGAGTCTCGCACCTGACTTGGTCACGTTGCGCCTGAAGGTCACTAAGACGCGGCCATATACGTTGGAGCCGTCGCAGTTCCATCTACTGTCGACGAAACATGCCCGGTATTGGCTATTCCGGTACATGACAGCCCATGCCTGTAGCACCAAGCCTGTGTTCACGTTTGCCAAAGGGATCCACCTTACTCGGCCTTATTTAAATAAGATACTCTGTCACGCTCTCAACTGTTATCAGGTTAGCTCCCGCTCCATGCCCATTGTTGGAGCGACAGTCCTGGAATCCAGAGTTGCAAGTGAGGTGGTGATACGGCAAGCAGACGGTGGCAAAGTACGGCTTAAAATCTCTACATCTGGCAAGTGGCCGGCATACCACCCCAATGGACATCGGAACAGTACACGTAGAGTAGCATCTCTACGTGACAGGGTATGAGCGCAAGTGAGTTCTTATGCTCTACTAATGTGCATTGATTCTGTGACTATAGTTGGTGTACAGATCTCATCACATGTGCCTTAGGTGGGATTTGCTATTGTCACTGTAAAATTCAGCCCTAACAAACAGTGTGATGGATGAATTTGACTCCAGGTATCTGCTTTTGGGAATGCCATGTATGCATGTCTGGCGTGCTGCTGCTATAATGTTGTGGCAGCAGCATTTTGGTGCGATGGACTGTTCTTGTAACGGTGTACCTACCCATTTGCTGTTGCCGGATGCCGTGTTTTGTCAGTTGTGCCTGTTTGAAGGTGCCAGGCCAGCTTGTGTTGGTGCGTTCCCGTTAAGTTGCCAGGGCACCATATTTGTAACGGCGTTCCCGTTTTGCTGTTGTGGGGCTGTGTTTGTATCGGTGTGTTCCCGTTGAAGTTGACGGGCACCACGTTAGTGGATTGTGCCTGTTTGAAGTTACCAGGCCAATCCTGTAACGCACACCCGTTTGCTGATAATTGGGGACATGTTTGTCCATTTTGCTCGAGATTCACATGGCTGCGCCAGTTGCCTTGTGCGGATTAGACTGTTATCTGGCACTAGTCTTGATCTGTTTTATTCAGATTCAGATCAGCTATTGTTCCTATACGAGAAAATCTGTGGGTGCACATTCAATTCATTTGCAGATTTGCGTGCTTCTCCTGCAACGGGCGTTTACATGGTACATGGTGTGTGGGCGTATGTGTGGTGTGTTCATGCTGTACAGGCCAGTATTGCCAAGCACTGGGGACGGACCTTTGGCAATCTGAAGAATGTTTTGTCCGAGAATTGATCCTTGGATCTGTGGCGTTGCAGTTGTGGTGCTCCCGACCCTCTTGCGCGATGGCCGCGGAGACTTGGCGAAAAGTTCGAGACATACGGCATCTCAATATCTTCCACCACAATCAGTACATCAGCACCACCATCGAGTGCAGCGACATCAGCAATAGAAGACGCACATGATATCATTCACCCTTACGGCCTTAGCGAAGACCCGGGAATACCTGAGAAGATGTTAGCCGCAACTTTACTGGAAAAGTCGTCGGTGACAACGGCACTCCATATTTTAGCTGCATGCAGTTAGGTCTCTCAACAAGTGTACCCAAAGTTTTCAAGCTAATATACAAGCAAATTCACTAGGGGCCGAGTATATTTTCCTACACCTCTCCCTGTTTGTTGTTGTTATTTCTGCATTCAAATTGTTTGTGTACCTGTACATTTATTACAGTAGAGCCACGTATCCACGGCTGTTGTTTCCAAGGTCAGGCTCGTCAGTTATACAAACCTTTCAGCAATCTGGCCTTAGGCTTAGTTCCTTGACTTCTTGTACCACCTTCTTAGATGCACATCCCACTGGATAGTGAGCAATACGTGTGTAGCAGAATCTGTATTCCAGAAAAGCAGAGACTTGAGTCTATTGACACTGCGTTTCGTTTTAAAACGTTATTGGCTGTGGTGTTCCTAGAGGTATACTATACATGTACATTCCTGGGTCCCACGTTCTGTGACGCCCGACTGTATTCGTGGTGCCTCAACAACTTTTAATTTTGTGCACTCGGGAAAACCTGCCTGAGGCTGTGAGGCTGCAGAGTGTTGGCTGTGTTTTGCTTTAAAAAAACCATCTGGTCTCCCCAGATTTTCTAGTCTGGCCCTGAATTTTGCCACTCTTCGGTTTCAAAACCTAGTGTGGTGGTGGAAAGCCTAGCAGTGTTGTGTGTGCATGTGTGTATTTTGTACAGTGCTGGCGAGAGAAATCCAACCTCGTTAATAAAGTAGCGCCGCCTTCGAGAGCACAGACCGGTCCAGTATGTTTACTACTAGGGCTGCGTAGCGCCCGGTGCAATTTTATTCATAAGGTTGGATTTCTTTGGCCAGCACTGTAGTTAGAAGTAGGTCCTCTAAGGTCCTCTGTTTGTGCGCAATTGTGGTCACAGTGGCAGTAGTGGGTGAGGGGTAGACTCAGTTACTACGAAGATGGTGTATACATGATTGTGTATACAGTCATGTAGTTGAATGTTACTTCGGGCTTAGACCCAGAGGTTCTTGCAATGATGACCCCGGGTTTATGTACATGTATCATTCAGCTACCGTTGTCATAATGGCACTAGTTGATAGAACACCTGTATAAGTACAGGCTGTATATCTAGCATTTTCCAAAATAGCACTCCGTACTTCGAGGCTGCAGCCGTTTTGCATGCAACGTTGTATGTGTTGATCGGTTGACAGCATGTGACAAAGCCGAGGACACACTAGTGTATCAGGAGCACTGTTATTTAACACAGTGCGTCCCCCGCCTTGTCATGTTAATTTATCAAACAAGGCTTACCTATACCAACATTATAAATGTAGGGCTGTGCATGCTTTCAAAATTCTTCCTTGTTGAAGTAGAATACCGTGCTTGTGGGGGCTTTAGTAGTTCCTTTGCCAGATGTTCTATGCGTATCTCAATGACATCAGTTTCAGCACTCGGACAAGGCACATTCGGGCCTACACATGTAGCCTTGAATTCTGGCTTGGAGGCATTATTTATCTATTTTCATGGCTGCTAGGTTCATCCTTAGTTAAGAGTTATTTCTCCGTGATTCGCTGATGAGTCCACAAAGGACGAAACAGCTAGACAGTACTAGTGCTGTCCCCAGATCGTGTATTCTAAATCCATAATACTGACGCTCAATCTCCAGACAGCTGTTTCAGCCTTTTAGGTCCCATCAGTGGAGCTCAGAGCGGGAGGTTAAACAAATGGCAATACGGTCTATATGAAATGAACAAAAAAAGCAATTTGAAAATGGCTCAAAGCATCAAAGTCAGCGAGCTATCTGCAAGACACGCACAAAGAGAGCTTTGCACGAAGGCAGATACATATTACATATACCTTTGACACTAACCAAAAAGAGTGCTCGATCAAGTCAACGCAATGCAGCGTAATGCGGTGATCGAGTCTATAAAAAGCTATAGTGACATGTAGCCAGGCCCCCAGCACAATAAGCTGACTTGCATCATGCTAAAATCGTTCACACAAATCTCTTATAATAATTATTATATAGATTGCAGGATAGGGTGGTTGCACCAGGAAGTGCTGTCTCTGCGATAGTGGGACCAGCCAAGATTGCAGTACAGTCGTCCACCATCAATCCAGCACTTCATTGGCCCACGCCCTCGATACACCAGCATGATTTCCGGAGTTATTACCATTCATTGACACATGCCCCCCCCCCCCCAGTTCTTCGGCACCTGACCCGAGTTCTATTTGGGCCGCACTACTTTGTAGCAGTCATACTATAGTACTAGAACTGGATGCACGTGATATCCACTGGAGCTGGCGCTGGCCATGAGCTGACCCACCGCCGTGCCTCCCAGTGTCAATTTTGCTTATGTGATCCTACCACAATCTGGAACATTATCAGTACTCGCCTCTGTTGACTTGCCAGCACTAGTTCTGGTGGATCTGGGCATGTTTCTGCCTTCTCTTAAGCATGTATTCTCCTGCAGGTGCATATTTCACCTCCTTCTAATGCGTGAGCACATTTTCTGTGGAGATTCAACGACACATACACCAGAAAATACAGAACGGAACAGTGGCTGCCAATGCGACACAAGTACCACATAGACCTAAAAACTCATAAGTACCCTGGGAGTTAGATGCATTTACGGGCAGTATGCCAGGATTTGCGCAGCTAATTTAAAATCAGATAAGCAATGCTGTGTGCTACCTAGGCGGCATCTTGGACTCAAAAACCAACCGATTGTGGTCCAACCCAACCGACAGCGTTGTCGGTGGGTTCCGATTGGCAGGTGTTGGATGGACGTATGATCCATGCGTCCCCACAAGCAATGAGAAGTTAACAATGCCACTAAGGATATAATATCGCGGACAGCAGTACAATGAAACTGGGCCATTCATTATCAGCAATATCAGGGGTATATCCCATCCGATAAGACGTACAGCTCGTGTATGGCGGACTTTACAGCAGGTCCCGACATAGCTTGCCCCGTGCCCTTTACCACTCCTGGGCCAAAACTGTTGTACAATATTCGAGAGGGTCTAGCCTAGTGAGTGTGAACAGAACCTGGCAAACCATATCTCCAAGTGATTCACATGTTGGTATATTCTCCGTTATCATTCATCAATTCCGAGCAATTTGACACCCTAATATTCTCGCACCACTACTGCTGAAGTATTGACCACAAACCATGTTCCATTTGACTTACAAACGGAACTTGCAAAAGGCATGACAGCATTGGAATCTGTAAAGACTCTCGCATTATTAGTAGGGCTGAAACGATCATTCAATAACTCTTAACGATCAACCAATATCATTAACGATTGATATATTGGTTTTATCGATTCTTGTCGGCTCTACCCGTGTACCTCGAACACCAGTTTATGAAAAAATTCCACGATACTTTTGCTACGTTAGAAATTTGTGGCACCGCACTGTTGACATCTGTAGACATCTGGCTGGTTTATCAACATGACCTAGAGGATTTCATGTTGTTTCTAGAGGGAAGAATCTTCTGATCACCCTCTGGCAACTGCTCTTATCTCTGACCTTTCCCGCAAATGAACTGAAAAGACAAAGAGTGCTCTCTTCCGATCTCTTTCAAAGCCACAAATCAATTTTACTGCGCTTGAAAGTACATGATTGTACTCGTATTCACTATCGGATGGAGTGCAAGGGCTGGAATACTGTCACTCATATACATGCATAAAAAATTGTTAGCACTCGTTTTGAACACTAACGATTATCGATTGCACTCTTAACGATCGATATGCGAGTTATCGGTATAATTGTTTCAGCCCTTATTATTAGCCACCATACATACCTTTCGGGAAGTCGGTTGGAAGCAGAATGCTCGGAGAGCAGAGCTGAGTGAGATCTGCATACAGTAACACAGCGACAATGAATCACATGAACAGAAGGTATCCGTACACATCTGAATATGCGCTTATGGGAGGAAAATCCGTGCGACAAAAGAGGATCGTGCTATGCAGGTGTATGTCTTACCCGGGTACGTACTAAGTGAGTTCCACCGTACGTATATAATTGTATTGCAATTGAATCACTATACTGACTGGAGCCAAAAATATCAATTGGCACTTACTCCGGTTACCCGAATGTTTCGGTACCACTATCATTAGGTTTGTTGCAATCGAACCAAGTCATAGTTGAGTCATTTTCAATGCGTTAGGTGTTACCTGATGTGCCCACTGCATCAGCCGCTATGTCATATTCCACCAGGCATGCACCAAACCAGGCGCAATGCGCACACTGATGATGGTGGTTGTCACACAACGAGCAGTAGTAAAAGTGAAAGCACATTTTGCATGTGATTTTGTTGTAATTTGTGCCAGTCGAATTGTCTCAGTGTAACTAGTTTATCGTTAGCTTACTAGTTTGTTTAGGCCATCATTTTTTATATCTATGTTTCGCGTTAGTTCAACTTCCAGAATCATATGCGAGAGGTGGAAAAAAATAAAAAGTTGCAAAATAATAAAAAAGGCTCATCAGAGGTGTATGCACTGTACATAGCACAATAGCTCGTGCATGGTGTACATTCGAAAGAAAAATCGTACATCGAAGCACAACATCTGGGTTATCAGCAAGAGTAAATATTCACTTTGGACAGAGGAGGCATCCGTTGGTGCCTATGCTTCGCTGGATTATTGTACTCAGACTTCGGCAGCGGTGCAGCAAAGACCTCCGGAACGACGCATCCTCTCAACTTCAGGCGATCAATGCTGTCTGGTGTTAGCTCATAGAATATTGCTCCCAGATGCCGAACAAACGATTTGCCAACGCTGGCCTAGAGGCCATTTCTGAATCTCAGCTTCGCCGTATGCAACCAGTCCACACTGATGACTCGTACAATCGTACACTCACCGTGCATGTAAGATTTTTTATTTTTTTCTGAAAAAAATCAAAACGTATGGGTGCGGACGACGCGCAACATAGCTATAAAAAATGATGGCCTTATACAAAAGAGAAAGACCAAGGAACTACAAGTTACGCTATACTGTCCACTAACACCACCAGTTACTAAACAATCAGCTCATGCGATAGCATTGCACGACACTGAACAGCTCTAGCACATCTTGGATGCGCACTCCAACAGCCTTGTGGACGACGACCGTCACTGGAGAATCGGTCCGTCGCTCCACCAGCCCGGCGGCACAGTGGGCAGTGCCTTGGGGGTGTCAGGCATGGATCAGGCTGATAAGGACGTGGTGGAGACGGAAATGATGTTTGCAAGGAAGAGTGATGATATGCGTATATGCTCTCCGCCAGTTGTTGAAGCAACAGTCCGGCAGTGGAAAGTCGGCAAGGTTAAAATAAGTGACCAACTGGGTGAAAGTACACCAAATGTGGCCCATCTCTTGAATGGTGCGGACCACGGCAAGGACCTGAAGTTGAAGGTCGTCAATGGCAACACCGCATGGTCGACGTCAATGGGAACATCAAGCCATCAAGTTGGTGGAACTATGGAATGTCCGTCGCAGGCTGCAGCGACAGGGTAACGTGCTCAGGGAAGAGTACAGTGACGATGATCAGCTGTGTCTTGCACGCAGTCGTGTTGATCGTGGCGTGCAGAACAACAGAGACAGTTGCGGTATTCGTACATTTGTCAGTTTAGGATTGTGATCCCCAGGAAGTCCTTTGGTGAGGAGTGATGTCACGCAACGAGCAGTAGTCAAAGTGAAAGGACTTCTTGCATGTGATTTTGTTGTAATTTTGTAAGATGTGGTGGCAGAACTTTCAGCTGGTAGTGGGTGATGGGCTGGCGGTGTGACAACAATTACGGGCTTGACGAACGACATAATTATGGCGAGTCGATCTTTGGCCAGTTGCTGAGTTGGAGATAGTCACCGTAGACCCAGAGATCTGGTCCACGGTCCAGGGGTTGGGATCCCACTGTGGTGAGAGCTTGTGTGCCTGCTCATTGCGGCGTAAGACGCGCTGACCAGGAGTGAGGATGGGGGCGTTTGACCGGCGGGTGGCATTGGTAGCGTCGCACTGGGATTGGCGGAATTGCTGGTCACGGTGGGCAGCTGAAGGCAAGTCTGGTGCGGCTGCCGTAATGCAGGGTATGCTGTCGCGGATGGGGCGACCAAACATGAGTGTTGCCGGTGCCTCGTGAATGGCAGGGTGTGGCGTGGTGCGGTACGCTAGGAGCCATTGGTCTAATGCAACATTGATGTCTTCGCCAGCTAGTTTGGCAGTTCGCAGAACTTTGCCAATGGTACGGTTGAGGCACTCCGTTTGCTTGTGGCCACAAAGGAGGGGTGTAGCGGTGCTGGATAGCGTGTTGCGCGAGGAAATCAGCAAAAGCCGAAGAACGGAACTGAGGACTGTTGTCCGAGACTAGCTCTTCGGGCAAGCCGAACATGGATAATGTAGAGCGCAGAGCTTTAACAACACCGGCCGTAGTGGGTGTCGTGCTGAACACGTTGATGACCGGGTAGCGAATCAACTGGTCGATAGGGGCAAGCAGGTGCTGACCGTTTGGCATGGGTCCATACAAATCGACGAAGACTCGTTGCCACGGCTTGGTGGACGGTGGTGTGGGCACGGACTCCTGGACGTAGCGGTGTCGTTGAGAGAGTTGCTTGGCACGGAATACATTGCCGGCAGAGTGCTTCGGCTTCAGTAGCCATGTTGGGCCACCAAACCTTGCTGTTGAGCCGTTGCTTGGTGCGGACAATATCTTGGTGGCCCGCATGTGTAAGCTGCAGGGTAAGCCGTTGGAATGACGAGACGGTCGTTGCGGAGTAGTAGACCGTCACTCTCAGACAGTTCATGGCGGAGGGCAAAGTACGGGCGGACCGTGGTGTGGTTGGAATCCCAGCGGCCAGATTGCAGAGAGGAAAGGATGGCTTGCAGTGTGGTGTCTGCGGTGGTGGCGTCCGCAATCTCCTTCAGAGCCAACGCATTTGGCTTAGCTGCTGTAGCTAGGGCATGTATGTACGCAGTGTCTTTCTGTGCGCCGATGTTTGGCAAGTCGGGATGAGGCTGCGGATTGCGACTGACGACGTCGGCCGGGTTTTCTGGGCCAGGCTTGTACTGGAGCTGGAAGCTGAGATCCTGCAGGCGGAGGACCATGCGCTCAATTCGTGGCGGAGGTCTCGATCCGACGGCCATGAGTTGCAGGAGCGGCTTGTGGTCGGTGACAACGGTGAACTGTGGATCACCTTGTCAAGCAGTGGTGAAAGCGAAGGCAGCCAAACTTGACACCCAATGTTTCCCGTTCAGTTTGATAATATTGCTGCTCGACGCCGGAGAGTGCACGGCTGGCGAATGCTACAGGTGCATCGTGGCCGTTGTCTTGCCGTTGACACAGGATTGTGCCGAGGCCGGTGGGCGACGCGTCGACATACAGTGATGTGTATCGCTTGCGGTCAAAGTATTGCAGCATGCAGTCTTCGGCGATGGCCTTCTTCAGTGCATCAAATGATTGCTGCTCAACATCAGTTCAACGCCAAACAGTACCTTTCTTAGTGAGAGCAGGGAGTGGCGTGGTGAGATCGGCCGTGTTACGAATGTAACGGCGGAGGAAGTTGGTGAGACCCAGGAAACTCTGTATGTCGCTGACGCAAGATGGCGTAGAGAATGTAGCCACAGACTGCTGGTGGCTGGGAGAGGCGCGGATGCCCTTGTCGGAGTAGACGCTAGCCATGAACTTGAGCCGAGGCTTGAGGATGTGACATTTGTGACATTTGGCTACGTTGAGTGTAACGTTGTGATCTTGGAGCCGCTGGAGGCAGGCGGCGAGTCGTCGGTTGTGCTCTTCGACGCTCTTACCAAAGTTGAAGATGTTGTCGTGGACGTTCTTCACACCGTCGAGGCCAGCGAGCCATGGCGTCCAGTGTGCGCTGTAGGATCTCGGATGCGGACGATACGCCCATGGGCAGACGTTTACAGTGCAAAACTGCGTAGCGATGTGATTTAGGGTGGCCTGGCTCTCCACAGCGGTAGCAGAGCGATGTGCTGGATTCCTGCTGGCCTGGAGCGCGAGTGGCGACTGGGGCAGGTGGCTGGTGGTACGAGTTTGCAGCTGGATGTGGCGAAGACTGCATCGGTCGACGTGACGGAGTTGAAACAGTAGCGGGAGGCGGCTGTGGCCTTTTGTAGAACGGTGGCTGATGACGGAGGGCATTGATCGAGTCTTGTGTGCGCCGGAACGCCGTCGTCTGTTCCACTGACGCTTCAAATGCTCTGGCGGCCTTGAGCGCCTTGGCGAGATCAAGGGACGCAGTCTCCAGCAGTTTTCTGCGTAGTGGATCGGACGTGCATCCTGCCACAATTTGATCACAGAGAGCCACGTTCTTCTGGGCATCGTCGGCGAAGCTGCAGGTCGTTGCCGATGCCAGCAAACGAGTATAAAACGTGTCTTACGTTTCGCCAGGCTGCTGGGTGACCTGCCGGAAGTGGAAGCGGGCCATGCTGGGGCTCTGCTTCGACTGAAAGTAGTCGGCGGCGGCGGGTATGAGGCCGTCGAGATCGTTGCCAGTGTTGGCTAACGTAGGGACGAGCTGCTGGATGTCCTTGCCGGCCACATACTGGAAAGTGTCTCTCTGGCGAGTGTCATCCGAGATGCCGGCTGCTGCGACATAGAGTTGGAAACACCGTTCCCAGGCAAGAAAATGGGCAGCAGCGTCGTAGAGACTGCTGTAGATCGGGAATGGCTCCGGAGGCGGTAGTGACAGTAGGGACATGGCGAGGATCAGGCGTTTGCTCGCAGCGCCAATGTAATGTTGTTCTCTTGCTGTATTCCAAACAACAACTAGCTCGGAGCTCCGGAAAGCTCCGCAATAGTGAGGTTTTGCATTCCGAATTTCGGCTCGGCGTTCTTTGGTCATTTGTCGAACATCAAAATGTCGAATTTTCGCACCGACGTTTGTTTTGCAAGTCGAAAATGATGTGTTTTTGATTTCGTGAGCCCCAGCATCAGCAATGTCCTGTCCCGTGCTCCTTTTCTTGCTGATTCCGACAAACTTTGATCGCGCCCAAAGAGTCGAGGGCCAAACCTGCCTCCTCAGTCGCCTCAGAAAAACCAACTCCATGGCCAAGTCAAATTTTATGGGTATCGCCATAGTCTTTTCAGCCACACAGATGACGGTGAGGACACTCCAGGCGAAAGAGAGTAGGCAGGCAGTGAAGAGGCGCAATCAGAGGTAGCTGACGATGCTGATGTCGTCAAAGACGCCTGCGAAGGCATGCCAAGATAAGAAACCTCTTTGAATAAATCACGCGCTAGCGCTCTTCCACAAGAAAATTCATCCGAAAAATATGTTCGGCAAAGTGAGCTTTTTCCGAACAAACATGCCGCATCTTCGTGTGCATTTTCGACCTCGCTCCCGCGTGCCGAATCTTTTGCCGAATTTCGGAATGCAAAACCTCACTAATATGATGCCAACAGAATGTATTGGTGTGCGTGCATGCGGACAGAGTCGGTGCGTACCGACTGTCAGCACAGGTGTGGAAAGCAGCATATGTAAATGGATAGGAGCACAAACGGTGCCGCGTGCATATATGTGTCGGTAGAGCATGAGACTCTTAATCTCAGGGTCGTGGGTTTGAGCCCCATGTTAGGCGCCAAATGTCGTCTCGGTTGGAGAACGAGCTGCCTCTACTATACCCTCGCCACGCCACACATCAAACGGACTAGTCAAGTGGTTTTTCTCTAGAGCTAGAGAGAGAGCTATTCATTACTACACTTCAGGAGACGACGGGAGAACTGACAACTGACATGGCGAAAAGAAAAATGATATCGGAAAGTGGTGCCCTCATCAGCACAAAAAGTGGCGTACTCGATATCATATCAGCACAAAAAGGTGCACGTGTCAGCAATACAACAAAGCAGCGCAGCAGCATATACGGGTCAACAGCACAGAGACACAAATACAGCAGCAGGTACGACAAAGAGACAACACGTGCAGCCACATGTACAACATATGGGTGTGACAGTCCATATATGTACGTGTGAACACTACACACGATGATAACATGCAAAGTATGGAGACCCAGACTGTGTGGTCAGCAGGACACAGCCCGTACAGGATGGAACAGACAACTAAACGTAATATAGCACCACGTACCGGCGGACTAGTCGACGCTGATGGGAGAAGTGGCACCCCCTGAGGCAGCTACGGATGCTAGAACTCTACAGCCAGAGTGAGTCGGAGTGAGACCAACACCAATATAAAACAAAAAGGTACACCACACCAGGAAGCAAGTCAAATAAAGATGTGTGAACAACAGCCACACACCACAGAAAAGCATACAGAACAAAAACTCAATTACCGACACCATAGACACTGCAAAATCCAAACAGGAGGAAAATACTAACTCCCTGAGGACACTGAGCATGAGGCAAACGAGCAAGCAACCTCTTGCCGATGTTCCACCGTGTAACAACAACCGCGCTGGCCACCGGACTGTATGGTAGGGGTATTACACCTGGACCTCAAGGCCAACGGGCGAAGGACAGCAGGCCGGGCCCAGGTAAATACAATGAGGAGCACTGTATACAACTACAGAAATAACCCAAACCCATGCCAATTTGACCAACATACCTTCCCTGCGCATCTATTCCTAGTGTACGGGTCTGAAAGATGAAAGATGGAGCGCTTGTATACACGGGCCCGGAAAGCCTGCTTCGGCCGCCCGGCAGCAGCTTCGTAGTGGTGGTCAAGGGTCGAAGACCGACGGATACGGATCAACTCCCCAGTGAACACACCTTTGCCCATACTACAGGGGTGGTTACTACCGACAAGCAGATACAGGAAACGATTGGTGACCTTGAAATGAGGCTTCACCGCCACGTATCCCTTACTACGGAAAACTGTGGTGTCCAGGAAATCAATGCCATCATGTGCCAGTTCATGAGAAAACTTGAGGGCCGAACACTTATTATTCCTATCTAAAGTGCGCTGAACTTGACCTTCGCAACCATGCAATGATAAAGCGTCTATAAACCTGAACCTCTAAACCCTCCCCCTCTAAGATCGGCAAAACGTACCGCTTCTCCAAATACAGCATAACAATGTCGGCATAGACCACTGCTGCAGGCGAACCCATGGCAGTCTCTTGGATCTGCCGAAACACATCGTTACCATACACGAACTCATTTTTCTTCCGAATGACTGACATCAAGGAAGTCACTGCTGTTAATAACCATGTACGAAGGGCGAGGGGCATCCACCTTGTATACCTGTGTGTGATATACCACGACAACCGAGCTCGTTGGATTTGTTGGTGTAGTAAAGGCTGGTCACATCTATACTCAATTATAAATGATCGTCCCGCACAGGCAAACCTTCTACCAAGTTGATGAAATCCGCAGTTGAGGTCAGAACAGTACTTTCCTCACATACATACGGGTTCAGTAGAAAGTCAGTGAACTCAGCGGGATAGTAGCCAGGACTATTTAGATTAACAATAGGCCTAACCTTCAGGACCCAGGACTTATGTGTTTTGAGAAGTCTCCTGAAAACGGGCATGCGCCCCGGTGCGACTAAGAACAGTGACATACCAAGTGACATTATATTAGTGGGCTTACGATGCTCAATGCGATGCCTAGTCATGGCGAGTAAACAATTGACTCGGGTCGCTCACACGAAGTCTCAACACAGCCTTGAGCCTGTTGGTTGCCATCGGCAGTCTAGCCGCATGCTCATCTAGCCCCTCAGACAAAAAAACAGTCATTTATAATGTTTGGCATTGTGATGCTGGGCACGACCTATATCATCATAGTGAGATCCGTCCAGGACTACTATCACAATAGACTGCCTTTGAATATGCCTGAGTCCGATCGCGTTCTAGCTCCCAAACTATGTGCTGCATGTGTACACTCCGCCTATGGTTAGTCTACTCCAGAACAACGCGGGGAGAGGTTCATTGGGGGCATGATGTCCCCCCACCCCATTCCCCCCTGCACCTGAAGTACCGGTATTGCCCCCCCCCCCCCTCCCCAAACAAATTACAGGACACAGATGGAGCACTGGGGAGCACGTAGCAGTAGGCAAAGTTGACGATGCCAGTGCAGACACGGCCTGACCTCGGTCACCACACTGGCACCGTATAGTCTCAGAGGGACATAGCTACCAGAGAACACACAGAATGGGAATATATAGTGCTATCTCGGTGGATAGACAACCCCCCATACACAAAATATCTACTGATAGAGTTTTGTGCAGACCCTATGTGCACATATGTGTGGATGAGTACTGGTAAACGGACAGCTAACCCTTGTCTAAGTAAAATAAAGGTAGAATGGGCAAAAAACGGGAAAAGTCTGAAGAAAAAATTGACTGTCACCAAAAAAATAATAATAGCTACACACACGAGGGAACTCGGATGGAGAGCCAAGGATTAAAATTGAAAAAGAGGACCATCAGTTTACGAGTTATCCGTTTTGTCCAACACTTACGGATATAAACGTGATGCAGCTAAGCATCAGGTCGTTGAATGTCATGATCTCATCAGTCAGTTTTTGTGCTGATTGTTGCACATTTTTGACTCAGCAATATTCTGCATATAACCGTTAGTGTTGGACAAAACGGATAACTTGTAAACATGAGGGAACACTCATCCTTACCCAAGTCCCAACGTCAGCACTCGGCGCTGCTCCGAACCAAGAGGGACACTGGAGAGATCGTCCATCAGCTCCTCTCTTGTCCTGCGATCAAATCGCCTAATGCTAAAACACAAGAAGATAGGAAAGGCAAGTAGAATAAATAAATCAATAAAATAATAAACAACAAAACAAGTTTGAACAGCTGCAAACGTAATGGACGATCCGAACAAGACCAATGATATACCTAGCAATAAGTGTGCAGAGTGTGCAGCCCAAGGATAATCATCCCACGGCAAAGTTTATTGTTTAGGGCATAGACTCACAGTAACAGGCTCACCTTTGCTGCATCTCACACCGCTTCACACGGTAATCTACTGTATCACCATGGTAATTTCTGTTGCACATTGCTGCTTGTTTAACAAAAGGCAGAAAACACACCGAATTTCCAGGAATTACCATGGTGATACGGTACTTTAGCTTGAACCTATTGTATGACGGGTTTTCTATGATTCATAATGACCCAGAGAGAAACTAAACCGGTATCGAATTCCTGTCAGCGACGCAATTCTTCTGAGGTGTAAAGTGACTTCAGGAATACATGTATGGTGCAGAAAACTGCGATGCATGCTGATTATTTACTGTGCCCTATTGTGCACCATATACATGGTGGGTTACTCAGGGATAAAGTAGATGCACACAAGTGCCGTGCATCACGGCACAGGTTAGGTTCGCAACTAGCTGCTACAGTGTATTTGTGGTCCGAACTTGCACTCTACTCAGCTCTGCATACGCAAAGAGTGCTGGTGCCGAAATGAACAAGAAGGGTGCTGAGTGGGACGCAACAACACTGACTCTGTATACCCATGTACACAGATATGATAGGGTATGCAGTACCTGCTCTAAGATTTAACACAAACCGGGTACACGTCTACCTGGCACAACTCCTGCAACACTGGGCCAGGGCCAGATGCGTTCAAGTGCGGCTACTGTGTGTCAGGGAGTCGTAAACTTACTTTCGACTTCCTGATGTACATGATTGTACATGTACATGTATGAACGTACTCGCACTGGGCACTCTGGCCGCACGCATCTGCACGCGTATGCAGCCTGTCAGTGGCGGTATACCCTCGAAGTATATAAAAAAGTATAGTACTCGACAGGACTTCCGACCGGGTCGCAGGTAACCCAGTGTTCTTTTTCCAAAAGGTCCAAGTACTCACAAACAGGGCCACTGACCTCGCTCTGGAGCAGACACTGGTAATCTAGGTCCAAGTTTGCTCGATTATGTTCTGACGCTTCATGTGCTTTCATAGCCAAGGTTTCTCACTTTCTTCGCAAGCTCTTTTAGTCTTGAGAGTTGACAACTGCTTATGGTTGTGTTGGCAGAAAACATGTCAGCTAATCTGACAACCGTCCAACCCCATTTTACTGGTAAGTAGTCAGCGAGTGGCTTTAGTGGGCCATACTAGCGGGGAAGTTACGCGGCATATTTGTGCTTCCTTTTTGAAAACACGTTCTCGCTCGAAGGGTTTCTAAACTTTATCCCTGCGCTCATTGATGGAGTTCATCGATGGAGTTGCCAGCGGCACTCTACAGAAGAACAATGTTGTCAAGTTTTTTATGAAAAATTGTCAAACATTTTCAAATTGCTATAAGTTTGGTTAGGGCCGGGTTCCACTGCGGCTCCGCAGCTCCGCTGCTCCACGGTACTTGGCTGCATGCAGCAGAGCGGCGCGGTTCCAGTGACACTCGCCATTCACGGTACCGCGATCGTGCTCGACGTTTTTTGATGACATTTAGCCTGCCTGCGCGAGCGTGAAATCCAAAAAAATCCTCGTGTTCTGGCCTGTGCAACGAATTAAAATTCCCCCGAATAAAACAATTAAGCGCGGGAAACAATGCAAGCCGTGACCGCGGCTTGCATTCTTTTGTATCAAGCAGCGAAGCGAAAGCTGGTGATGAGCCGCGGCCTCGCTGGACCAGCTCGTAATGATGACGTTTCATGCCGTGGATGATGTGCGGCGGAGCGGCAGTGGAACCCAGCCCTTAGGCAAAGGAAATTTGTCATTAATTTGTTTATGCTGCATAGATGGAGAGCTGCACACTCTGGCTTATGGACTCTCGCCTACAGTGTAGTCGTACTGCTAGTGTACTGGCATTACAGAAGACACGAAAAACGAGAACATAATTATGGCGAGAAAGTAACTACTGGCTAAGAATTGCCCTAGGACTTACCGCTTCTCAGTGCTCCATACCAGGAAGTAGTACAATACCTACTCCCTGCTCCATACGAGTGTTTTCTCCTCATTCTCTGCATCCTTTACCCCAGGAGTCTCGTCCATTTAGCGGCTCAAATGCTTGAGCTCCGGATAGCGGAAAATAGCTCGTCGTCCATTAGCGGCTCTAATAGTACCTGGTCTGAAGTGTCGCAGTCTAGCAACTATGATTTTTTCCAGGAGAGTAAGGGTTGCAAACCCAAAGAGACCCTAAGCTTCGTCTATCAAACAAAACAATTGCCCTAAAAAATGGAAGAGGAAAAGAGTGAGCGAGCTGGTCTGAGCGCGCTACTTTTCAAAAAATAGAAGCTGAAAGCCATCAAAGTCAAAGCATTCTGGCTAGCGCGTTTGTGTATGTCACGAGCGCTAGCGCGCTAGTCGCAGCAAACGCTCGCAGGCCAGAGTTAGCGCTATTTGGGCTGTTTGCCGCACGCGGCAGCTGGATGGATCACGTGATCCAAGCTGACAAATAAGGTCCGATGGTTCAGCTACATTGAGCCACAAGCGTGACAGACTAGTGTCGGTGACAGGCTACATAACTGGCATGCACTTGCTAGTGCGGACGGAGCTGTTGGACCCCGCCAACGGCTTGACTGTCTACAGTATACTAGTACAGTGTAACAGACTACTGAGTCTGTGAGTCCAGGAATAATAATAATAATAATTCGCGGGATTCGCGTTGGCATCGCTTGAATGTTCAGAAACACACAAACTAGCCTTCGCTTCCGCAGGCCACCACTATGCCTATGCCTTGCACACCTTAGTGGCAAATGCAGACCTCACAAGTGAGTCAGGGGAGAGTAGGTGAGTCTCTCAACCAATCGGGCGTGTAACGGCCCATAACCCTGTAAACTGCATCCTTGTTACCCTCACTCCGAGCTGTGAGTACCCAGTTGACCGTGGGTGTCGGCGCAGTTCACCACGCATAAAAAGTCTTTACTCACGTAAAAAGTCTTTACACGCTCCATGCTACCAGCGCGGGTCTCGAACTCGGGACCTCATGATTCGCAGGCAGGCCTGCAAACCAATCGGCCATATGCGTTGGTACTCCCCCCAGTCCAGGAATGCTTGGCCGAAAGTCACACCTCTTCTCGAGCGACACATCACACTCACAACTCTTTCACAGCACTACGCTGGCACTGCAATGTCTGCATGCCCCGTCTGTATCTTCCCGTCCAGACCATAGCCATACTCCCAAGTCCCTGCATAGGCTATCCGCAGTAATACTACTAATACTAGTACAAGTACAAGTAATAGATGGCCTGAGGCATACAGACTCAGTGTAGTCCCGGTCTCCACACCCTGGCCTGAGTCTCTGAGTCTGAGACTTGGGCTGGTGATAATATCGCCAGTATCCATGGTATCGGGATCATGGGACTGATTAATTTTAGTCTAGCCTAGTAGTACTAGTAGTCATGGTAGTAGTAGAGGTCTACTCAGTAGATCTCCTGTACATCATTGCACATTGTACTAATTCGGTTACTACATTGCAAGTACTGCTTGTACATGATCTGTGATGTGGTAGTCTCTACATACCTGCTGCCGGTATAATCCATGACCGGATCTCACAAAACCCAGCTGCTGTATCCTCTCCAGTACATTTAAACGGTGGTCACTAGGCCCTGCATGATGAAGGTTTCGGTTAGGAAGGCTTGGTCTTTGCCATTTGGAGCGTGATTATACCACGCACCGCCCAGAAATTTTAAAACTAACTGAGACATGTCTTCTAGTTCTGATTCATCTAGAGTTCGCTTCTACAAGAATATTCAACCAGAATATAGGTGCATATTCTAAATATTCAGCCCCCAAAAATAAGCTACACAATGAATAGCGGAATTTCATTCGTTGAAAACATCCAGCAGTGGCGGCATATGCTTTTATGCGGCAATGAAAAGTGACCACCGTCATTGTACATTCGAAATCACCTCACTATGAAAGAAATGGAAGAGTTACAAAGCCATTGAAATATTTGTGAAACAGATAGGTTTTAGCTAGTGCACAACAAGTGTAACGGTGCACAAAAGAATGTCTAAAAGTTCAAACATGTACAGTGTGTTGCGAAGCCAAATCATAATTCCCAGAGTGCACATAGTCATTACTACTTCAAGTAGTGCATTCTTGGGATACACTGTACATGGCATACGATCTAGTGAGGATAAGAAAGCACTTTTTCATTGACATAATTATACAGAGAAACCTTTGAAAAAAAGCTGCACGCCAAAAATGTAATTTCCACTCCCATGCTAGCACTACACCATACAAGGTAAGTCCATGTCCTGCTATCATGGTCGTGCAGCCAACAGAAAAAGCAATTATGAAAAAAATGATGTTTGTTCTGCGAGTAAGTGTTAGGAGAACAGTGGTTGTGTTTGTGTAGCGGCTTGAGGTACACTAGCAAAATGTCATGAACTTGAAGAATCCAGGTTACAGGATCAGAGCAAAGGATCCAGATTACAGGATCAGAGCAAAGGATCCAAATGACAGGATCAGAGCAGTCTTCTCTTTGAGAAAATAGATAGAATCCATTGGGATCAATATGCATTTGATTAGTTGTTAGTAAAGTGGAATGCAGCCAAGTTGCCAAGGTACAAACTCTGGCAGTTATACGAGATCTACCAGGTGTATCCGACTCGGCACACTGATATATGTTATGCCACCCAATGGTTTAGTGTGAGTACATGGTTCCTTATCAATGTTAAAAGCACTAAGTTACATACATCAGGGTTTTTTCTGCCTGTTCCACCAGTGAGTCCACAAACGTCGAAACAGCATTGTCCGAAGATGTCGGAGTGCATCATGTCTGTATACACTCCATGGCATGCACCTTCACAATACAAGCTAGGAACATGATTATATTCTTGTTCCTCCTCACAACGGTACCAGTGTCGGCATGTCCATGCAATCATCATCTTCTCTGTGTGAGTTGGTTTGTGTTCTGGACTTGCAGGCTGAAGACGAGGACTCTGTCACCGGTGTGATGCCTTGCATCTTCATGCTTGGGTGGCTCACCTCACTGTCTACGTACATCAACATACAGGCACAGCAATATAATAGACCATGAATGGGATTGAACAATTTTTTTATGCTTAAAAGCATTTAAAAATGCTTCACCTTGGCCGATTAAGACTAGGAAAAAAGAATAGCACGCAGCTGCTACGCATTATCCCAAGGGTAAACTAGGAATTTGAGAAAGCATGCTGCCAACTCGAGATTGAAGACATTAGCATCGTTTTATGAGTCCCCTATTACCAATTAGCTGCATGTGCCTCTCCAAATCTGCACCTTGTCTCAAAGACAACACACTGCGGTAATCACAGACACTGGACTGACCTGTAATACTGGGAGCTGTGTCCTACCTCTCCAAAGAGGGTCGACGTCCTACCTCTCCAAAGAGGGTCGACGTCCTACCTCTCCAAAGAGGGTCGACGTCCTACCTCTCCAAAGAGGGTCGACGTCCTACCTCTCCAAAGAGGGTCGACCTCCTACCTCTCCAAAGAGGGTCGACGTCCTACCTCTCCAAAGAGGGTCGACGTCCTACCTCTCCAAAGAGGGTCGACGTCCTACCTCTCCAAAGAGGGTCGCCTAACAGTCTACCAGGGTGTTGTGTGGCCCGTTTTGGAGTATGTTCTGCTTGTTTGGATGAGAGCTGCTCCCTCCCATTTCGAACATTCAGACTATGCCCATGTATTGCGGCATCATTGGTACCCGGGGACTGAGCTTCAGAGCCTCAGTCTATGGCAATATGTTAGAGCCTCAGTCTATGGCAATATGTTAGAGCCTCAGTCTATGGCAATATGTTAGAGCCTCAGTCTATGGCAATATGTTAGAGCCTCAGTCTATGGCAATATGTTAGAGCCTCAGTCTATGGCACTATGTTAGAGCCTCAGTCTATGGCAATATGTTAGAGCCTCAGTCTATGGCAATATGTTAGAGCCTCAGTCTATGGCAATATGTTAGAGCCTCAGTCTATGGCAATATGTTAGAGCCTCAGTCTATGGCACTATGTTAGAGCCTCAGTCTATGGCAATATGTTAGAGCCTCAGTCTATGGCAATATGTTAGAGCCTCAGTCTATGGCAATATGTTAGAGCCTCAGTCTATGGCAATATGTTAGAGCCTCAGTCTATGGCAATATGTTAGAGCCTCAGTCTATGGCACTATGTTAGAGCCTCAGTCTATGGCAATATGTTAGAGCCTCAGTCTATGGCAATATGTTAGAGCCTCAGTCTATGGCAATATGTTAGAGCCTCAGTCTATGGCAATATGTTAGAGCCTCAGTCTATGGCACTATGTTAGAGCCTCAGTCTATGGCAATATGTTAGAGCCTCAGTCTATGGCAATATGTTAGAGCCTCAGTCTATGGCAATATGTTAGAGCCTCAGTCTATGGCAATATGTTAGAGCCTCAGTCTATGGCAATATGTTAGAGCCTCAGTCTATGGCAATATGTTAGAGCCTCAGTCTATGGCACTATGTTAGAGCCTCAGTCTATGGCACTATGTTAGAGCCTCAGTCTATGGCACTATGTTAGAGCCTCAGTCTATGGCAATATGTTAGAGCCTCAGTCTATGGCAATATGTTAGAGCCTCAGTCTATGGCAATATGTTAGAGCCTCAGTCTATGGCAATATGTTAGAGCCTCAGTCTATGGCAATATGTTAGAGCCTCAGTCACTATGGCAATATGTTAGAGCCTCAGTCTATGGCACTATGTTAGAGCCTCAGTCTATGGCACTATGTTAGAGCCTCAGTCTATGGCAATATGTTAGAGCCTCAGTCTATGGCACTATGTTAGAGCCTCAGTCTATGGCAATATGTTACTGTACTAACATACATCCATGAACTGCACTTCCTCACCGGACCAACTCACCGGACCAACTAACCGGACCAACTCAGATTCTAGCAGTCCTCCAACCACGGCCAGAGCCCAATGACCCCACTCGCACTCGGCATGATCTCCATGTGGCCAATGGCCACGGCTATCAGCTGAAAAACCAGCTGCCGTGTCAAGCATTACCGCTTTATTATCATCTTTGGTGCTTGCAGTACAGCTATGAACCCAAGACCAGTGGTCGCGGAGCCCACTCAACCCTAACTACATACACTGTTTCTAGTTTAGCAGCTCCTACAGATAGCCGTTCATCATTTTCCTTTCTTCTCTTACCTTAGGGATTCGTAATAATGAAAAACTGTACTGGTAGTGCACTATTAGCGTGAGTTGCGTCTTGACTCGCCTTCAATTTCATAATAGTCCTGAGCATGCTTGTCCAGAGTCTCCGCACTGGATAGTACTTGTGAAGGATGAACAACAGGCATGTCTTCACCAGCATGGTTTGGTGGGCGCTTTGGCTGTAATTTGACTTGCTTTAGAATGGCTGGATGATTGATGGCTGGGTGCAAGTGTGGTGGTTGCAGCAGAGTAGACCTTGAACCTTGCCACGTCACTCCTTGAAGTGATCCAGGGGGCACAGATTGGCATTTCTGCTCGGGATCGGCATGGTAGGAAATTGGCATGGCCCTTGCAGCTCTGTTGGGCATGGAACTTCCTGTTCTCCCGAGCAGAGCATCTCGTATAGCATGGTCAACGGGACTGGGATTCTTGGCAGTGGATTCCTTGTTTTTGGACTTCGGCAACACACTACGTCTGTGAACATGAGCTGGTGTGTATGGACAAAATGAGGTGACCGAGTTGCTTCTAGCACAAGGGCAGTTGCACACCGGCTGGCTGGAGCTAGAGCCATCTTGTACGCATCTCTTGGAACATACTGCGCGGCTACCCATCGTTGGGATGGGGTTAAAGTTCCGGTTTTCACTCACCGGTACGTATTTGTGAGTTTGTATTCGCTGGTGATGATTGGTCAAGGCGCTATTCTCCTGAGACTTCTGTTTGTAGTATTGAAGAAGCTGTGGCGCACTATACAGGAACACTTGTAAGGACCTCGGACAACGGTTGGTGAAGTGCTTGGCCAACTCCAGGCTATTGACGAACACATGTCTGCAGAATGGGCAGCGCTCAATCTGACTGCCTGGCCTGGTCATTCGGTTCACTTGGTGTGCATGTATAACTGCGTCTGCCTGCCTTGCCTGTCGGTGGTGATGGGAACGAAGACGACCACTGGACTTGGAGGTGTGAGTGTGGGGTTTGGCACCATGGCTACTAGCTGATCCATTGCGATGTGCCGGGATCCGGGAAGATGATCTTGCACTCTTCTCGTAAGCATACTGCTGCTGCTGCTGCTGCTGATCAGGCATGTGCTGAGTTACCTCTGGACATGTTGCTGCCTTAGCACCATTCCATGTGGAGAGGTAGTCACCTGATGGTTGATTGTGCTGCGGGCAAGTCTGCTGTACTGTGCTAGCATTAGGTACAGCTTGATCAGCATAACCGTAATCAGGTGAATGCAAGGCACTGGCTGTAGGACTTGCTGTCCCTCGACCACTGGCACCCCCTGCAGTAGTTTGTTTCACTTGAACGGACATATCGCCTGCTTTCATTAGACTATCATCACTACATGGTGCATGCATGACCTGAAAAGCACACACACACATGCACATGCACATGCACACACACACACATGCACATGCACATGCACACACACACACATGCACATGCACATGCACACACACACACACACACACACACACACACCCACACCCACACACACACACACACACACACACATGGATAGAAAGCTGTCAATCAAGACTGAAGCACAATATGCCACCATACGCCATATTGAACTAAGCTCTACACAACAGAGTCCCCAAGGTCACACAGTAGCCCACTGCTGACAGCTACACTTCTCAAATAAATATGTTCAGCTAGTTTCCATCTAGTCTGAAAACTGCAAGGCTGTTGCTTGTTCCAATTTTTGGAAACACACTGATTTTTACAGGTCATTCCGACAAACCGACCAAAAACCGACTTTACTATCTTGCTTCAATTGCTCACGAAAGAAGGGCTCTATAAATCTGATGATTCTGAACCTTGAAATCCTAAAAATACTTTGGTTTCTAAATGGAGTGCTATCTCCATTTATACCCCCCCCCCCCCCGGCCTGGGGTCGACCCATTTAGATTTCTGCTCAGAGAAAAGTGAAACCGCCAGGTACCATACGCACCATATCCGGATTATTTTCTGATCCACTATTATTAAGGCAAGGGTAAGAGGAATCTCACTAGGACACTAAAGAATGGACTTACTTTATTGTCTCGAATCATGTGATCATTATACTGTAAATCTTCTGAACTACAGCAAGCTTGCCATGCAGTACTAGTATTCTCGTTTGATGAACGATGTCGTCCAGAGAGGGCAGTCAGACGGGTGGGAATTTCAAACTTCTATTTATGTAGTAGAAAAGCTGCTGCTCACCTGTGTTCACCTCCAGCCAAGCTATACTGTATAGCATACCGGTAATACAGACTGTCAGTACCAGTTCCGGTGCATGGCATTGAATTCAAAGCAGTCGGAGGCATAAATGTACTAGGATTTCAGGAGGTCTTGCCTCTCCACCCCTTCTCAGACTCATGGGTAGGATTAGCCTCGAATCGAGTGTGTACACTTCATTCCATCATCTCATCGTGTGGTTTTGCCTCCTTGCGGGTGATAATAATAATAATTATTATTATTTAGGTGTGAGGACTTGAAAGCAGGGTCTGACGCTGAACAAGCATTCATTCAAACTCTGAGGTTCACGTATACTATGTACAGTCGTACACAAATAACTCTCACCGGGAATCGCTGTCGAACAACCGTGTTGTTGATCTTCTCCCATCCCCTCTATGATTTCGTCCGGCATAAAACCTTGGTTATTTGGGTACTGTAGCGTGTGTTGTGTATCGTTACATATTTGGCTAGGGGCTCGCATTCTGGCCGGCGGATATAAACAATTGTCAAAATATTCAGGCTAACACACACTCCACGCTCACAGTGAGCGGTGGTGGCATCGTAACTCTCATTCAGTCAAAATAATTTGAGAGCCACAGCTCGTAAGCACGATTGCACACAACGTTTGTCACAAGTTTTCAAACATTTCCACTCACACTCACCGGCAAGCAATGGCATGGTCGCCTCTGAGTTTCGGACAGTCGCTACCAAATCCCAGTAGAAGTCTACTACGCGGCTGGTTTCCACTTGGAGAATGGTACAACCAAGAAGCGTTGCTGCCCCTCAATAACGACTTCTCGCTACCAAGACGGTCATTTTACACACTGATTACCGAAGCCTCCGATCGTGGTATTTGTGATGCTAGCGAAAGATCACGCTCGATTCGGCAAGTGCCGTCTTGCTCATTAGGCCGCCAAACTAGCACCGGCCACTGGCGTTATTTCGATACGTGTCCCTCGAATAGGACCAGCCCAGGAAAATACTTTTAGTAGCCCTCATCGAAGTGTTTCAATGTCTTGATGACGAGTTTCGATACAATAATCCTTCTAACGTTACAGTCATGTAGTGGGAAAGTAGACGCTCAGTGTTGTACTGCAATACAGTCGAGAAGAAGCCCTCGAACGATATTCGATAAAAGCAATTCAAGTATGAGCAGTGGATTTGCAGATATCGCAACTCACCACTTTCTTCTTTCTGGACACCACTGGCTGTGGATCTTCATGACTCGGAGTTGGGAACCGCAGTGCACAGGCTTCTTCATTCATTCCGGTTTGAAGATTTTTTTATTTTGTATTAGCTGCAGAATCCGATGATGTACTTCGACTTGTTCAATGTACTGTATACATGTACTGGAACACTGTACTCATGACACCAGTTTGTAGAAAATCCCTTTACTAAGGCTTTAGACTAGTTTAGTGTAGACGATGCTTCAAAGCCAAAGGCACTCGTAGTCTTACTCTTGATAGGAGCCCTGTCAATTTCATCTTGCTGTCAAGGAAAGAAGGCCTTTCAGGCTTTCGTTTGTCTTGTTACCCTACCGCGGGGAATACCCGTCCCAAGTCACAGTGCAGTATGAATACAGCCAGGCCCAGTGTCTACAATCATGTGCCCTCAAAATCCTGAGTCACCATCAATGGCATCATGAGTTGAAATTTCTCGGACTCGGCCAAACTAGAGCCGGACTTTGCGGGCACAGATAAGGGAAAAATTTACAAAAACTTCTTTTGATACAATTTCCAATTATGGGTGTGCTCGTGAACAGCGAACAGTGAAGCGCACCTGTATCTACGAGCACCGCTCACTACTCATCATGTAACGGGTGAATAGTGGCGAGGATCATACAGTGCATAATTCAAATACCGTGTTTTCCTAGGTGTTAAAATTAGTAGCTACGCACGCACACACAAACACACACACAAACACACACACACACAGATGTACTAGTACCACACACATGCACACGCACACACAAACACACACACACAGATGTACTAGTACCACACACATGCACACGCACACACAAACACACACACACAGATGTACCACACACATGCACATACACACACAGTGGGAACACTTTCCAACTTACATCTTTGCAATTATTTGAGTTCACAAAATTTGCTACCACATTCGGCATAATTTTTCTTTGTTGTGATCAGGAAGCAATAAAGGATGAATCAGGAATAGCCGCCGCGACATTGAGAACAGGTCCATCCTGATTTCTAAATTCATGTGTGCCTCTCGGGAGGGAAGTATTATACACAGCACTGGAGTCAGTTTCTGGCACAATTGTGCACCACATGCAGAAAATAAGACTTAGTATGTTTGAACCCACCTAGACTGTACAGTGTACTATTAGAGTTACATACTGAATGGCATACGGTGACATCATCCCATATTAGAGTTACATACTGAATGGCATACGGTGACATCATCCCGGGCATGATAAAGTACATAGCAATACAAGCACTGCATCGATCATACATGTGATACACATGATACATGATGTCCAGATTATCCGGCAGATAGCTAGCATAGCCTTTCTAAAGTGCAACAACATGAGCGATAGCAGCCATGACAAGGAGTCCAACAAGGGTATGGAAAACAGTTGGCTTGCTGGATGGCGACTTCGTACTTGGAAGGACAGTCGTTCCCGGATTGCCTATAAATCAAGCACAAACCAAACAGAGAATTTAACACCACTATATACAAATACACGTGCACACACATACACACACACACACGTGCACACACACACACACGCACACACACACACACACACACATGCAAAGAACTAGGCTGCTGAGGACACTCGCAATTCATGCTTAAACATAACATTTACTCACTGCCTTGAGGGCTTGTAACCCCAGGTAAACCTGATGGCAGGAGCGCTGATGAAACATTAGCTTGCACCAGAGCAGTCCTCAGCGATTGGGCTTGCTGCGCACTAGCAGGTACTGCAAACTCGTACATAACATCACATGGCCGGCCTTGTGGTGACAACTGTATACACATGGAAACACCATGACAACAAACAGTGATTTATACTACTATTCAGTGTTTCAACAGTGCGGGCTGCTCGACATAGCATTGACCTTAGTGATTGGTGACTCTGTAGCTACTCCACACAATTGAGTTAAATGAGGGGCGACTCTGTGGCTACTCCACACAGTTGACCTGTGTGATTGGTACGTTATGGCAACCCTGTCATAACTTGTTATCTCAGGTGTTTCGAGAGTTCTTTGAAACTCAATTATGTCAAACTCATTTAAAATACTAGTTACAAGAGTGAACTGTAAGTAAACGGTTAGCCTTTGGACTTGAGGAATGTTCCCACATCAAAACCCTCGGATAATTCTTCCTTGGCTTTGGTTCTTTTTGTGTGATCAGAAATCCTGGCTGCATTCTAACAGGATAGCAAGAGTACATACAGTGAAGCATCGCTTTGCACTTGATCATACCTCCCAAGCCTGTGGGTCATCCTTGTTACGACAAGCCCTCTGAAGAGTTCCAGCGGCAGTGCGATCAACAGTGGTCCATCCACTGGCAGCAGTGAAGACTACGTAATCATCCTGTGCACCAGGAAAGTAAGCCAATCGCACACTAAACAGTCATGCACAGATGGAAAGCCAGTTTGGCGAGTACAGGTGCTTGCAGGCACTACATTTACTGCCAAGAATCTGGGCATTCAACTAAAGACTATTTTAACTTAGAAGTGACAATGAAGACAGTGCAGCAGTTTGCAACCAAGGCTGTTATCTCACAGTGCGGCATCGTTCAAACATCTTCGCTACGGTCATGCAGTGCAAGATAAAAGTCGCCGTGCACTTGGCATTTTGTCACCATGTCACCGCCACAAACAATCATTTAGAAAAGTACGATATTGCTTAGAACCTACAGAGCTTGTTGGAGTCTGGCTTCCTTGTGCATATGTCCAGAGGCAAGATGTGGTCACCTGGACAGGGGCAATCAGTGAGAGAATATACACGTACCGCGGCATGAAGATGTCTATATGAGAAAATTCCCACCGTGTGTGAAAGAATCTAACACAGCAATTGTGCCCAAGTGGAAACATGATACTGGCCTCAAATCATCCCATGATTCCTGAAAGACAAAAACAATATCAATACGATAATCACCAAAATCCAGAAGGAGGTGGTTTGAGGAAAAGGAAGATATGAAATTGCACTGGTTACGGTGAGAATAAAATTTTGTCGCGGTTCCCGTTTGCATGATGGAGGCAACAAGAACTGGCAGAGAGTGTGAAACATGGAGTGACCATGAAAGATCATCTCACACACAAAAACTTTTGCCGATCACCATCCTCTGAACACAAAATAGGAATAAGACAGTCCCTGAGATGCACACACGAATCCACTCAATTCGTGAACAGCACAGAGCATCGGCAAAAACTGCCCTTGGGAGTTTCATCAAGGTGGAAAGAAGACAGGAACAAAATGGTTGAAATTGAAGTATATGCTGTGAGTTCCACCAACAGAAGCAGAGCGAAAGAAAGGAAAGCGAGTATAGTCCGCTGGCAGAAACGCTTACCCGATCCATGTCCACATAGTCCATTGAAGGACTTCTACCGCACTGAAGGATAGACATCGCGTATTGTGCGCCAATTGTACCAATCTGGACCGGACCATCTTCGTTGGATACTGGCTGTACGTGTGTACCATCAGCTAAGGCCTCCTCCAGCTGGAGCGTGTCCAACAAAAAGCAGAGCAGATTAGGATTCCATCATAGCAGCGTTGAGCTAGGACACAAGTCCAGGTGTGTATACTGCTATATCTCCGCTCTCCACTTTTTATACAATTCAAACTTCACATCGCAATGCAATGAAATGTGCAAATATCAGCACACAGGGAAAGTAAAACATGACCAATATCAAGACATAGCAAGACAAAGTAGACAGTCACTGTACATATCCTAAAAAATGAATGAGGATCAAAGTCATGGATGATGAAGTAGTCCCGAAATACCATACACATACTTGTACTTGAAGTACAATGATTACCTTGAGTATCTTGCGACTTTCAAAGACAGGCTGGAAAGCAGCATTGCTGGCAGCACATTGCACGATGTAACCACTGTTGTCATAGACTTTCACAGCATTAGCGGCTATAGGGAAGTGAACACACACACACACACACACACACACACACACACACACACACAAAACACACACAAAACACACACACACGCAAAAATACACACACTATCGTACTTGCTCACTGCCAAAACTGGTCGTATGGGTCTCCTCGGGAGAGGGAAGGAAGATTCAAAAGGAATCTTGGAAAGATGACTCAATTGGCTATTGAACCGCCAAAAGTCCGACACCCCTGAAACCCCCAGACACACACACACGCACACACGCACGCATGCACACACACGCACAGACACTATGCTTATTCATACATAGGCACCGCAACTTGGTTTACTGGCACTCTTTCTTTAGGTCAGCGGAACACACTTCTCACTGGCTACAATCTACTCCACCACCCTTCTTATGAGATGGAACAAAGATCTGACAACAAGGATACATAGAGGAGGACTGCTCAGTGGTGGGAGTAGAGAATTGCTGGCGTATAGCAAAGGTCCCTGGTTAGAGTCCTGGGGGTGACAGTCATTGTACCTTCAGAACTTTTCCCTTTTCAATTTTTCATCTCCCTCAACTGATGGATAAAGGATTGAAATGCTAGCTTTTTAGGAGTCTTTTAAAATCTGCACTCCATAACTCGAAGAAATGCGGCAAGCATGACGTCGCATGCTCGCATTTTCCTGGCACTGCATGTATGCACACCAAAACACGCGACGTAGCTGGGCTCAAAGCCACTTCATGTTTCGGGGTGATCATGTGATATGGATAATTCGGGTATGGATCTGTGCCGGCTACGGAGCAACGTCACAGCACCTTGGATAATGAACGTTAGGAATGTCTCTGGATAACCGCCCAGTGCTATCGCATACCGCACACTGAGCAAAAGCACACTTGCCCCCGTGCATCGTGCTATGTGCCCCCTCGGAGTGTGTACTCCACCAACAGGGATAGTAGGAAAGTATTTCCCTCTCTGGAAAACTACGCAAACTAAGAGAGGCATGGAAGAAACTGCCACACACTCGTGAGCAGACAGCCTAGTGTGGAAAACAAACTTGTTTCCTCCAAGGCCACTGAATTGCCACGGGCAGGCAAGGCCAGCAAAGACAAGTCAGAGAGGTATAATATCTGTTGTTAAAACTCAAATTAGTCCTGCCTGTTCAAAGGATCAGTCGGAGAAGTGAACCCCTTATTCCTTCCTGCTGCCATTGTGATAGCCAAGGAAACATATACACGTGCTGATGTATACCATACAAAAATCACAAAGGTCAAAAAGAATGGTTTCACCAATTATAGAAACATACGTTGTAACGCTGCGTTTCATGCACGTAGCTAAATGCTAAGGCAATCATCAGACAACGGGTGGTTACGCTCCGCCCCTGTGGTGTTGAGCACTGTTGAAACCTGGGTATACCCACTTATGCCATACAAAAATCAGATAATTTATGTGCTCGTGAATTCCAGTTACGGTGAACCGAACCTCTCGTCTTCCAATTACGCAATAGACAGTGAACCAAGGCACAGTTTTCTGCCAACAAATCTATATTCAAAGGATTATTTGGGGAAGTGAACTGCCTGAAAAGTGAAAAACATGGCAATCACACCAGGACTCGAACTCGGACCTCGCTTTCCGAATGCGCTAACCTTCTGAGCTATGGGACCAAGCCGAGCCTAGAAGGCGCTGACAAGTTTTCACTTCAAAGGCAGCTTACATTTTTCTAATTCAGGAAGTTAAAACTTCCCCGAATGATCTTTGACTGTGAATTTCTCCCAATCCTTTCCAAATAAATCTACATCTATATTGTTCTTCTTTTAGTACATGTATAGGTGTTATCTGATGAGACGGGGGGGGGGGGGGGGGGTAAGTACTACAACTGTAGGGCGACTTTCTCAGTCTATCATGGACAGCAGTGTGACAGCAGATGTAGATTAGAGACCGCAAGCTGCCTCCTGCTGTCAGTTCATTTGATGACTAAAGCTCTGTTCACAACTTGCGCGTGGACGCGGTACGCTTGCGGTTCATGCGTGCCCAAACGCGCGCTTTTAGGCTTTCACAAAAACAGCGATCCGAGTCGTATTTAGCGCGTGTGATGCCTTCGAGTACTAATTTGTTGACCCCACCAGTCAAAGTGACTGGCATGTACGCTGGTACGCTTCTGATACGCGCTGAAAAATACAACCGGTTGGATTTTCCATTTCAGCGCGTTTCCATACGCATGACGCCTCAAAAGCCAGCAAAATACGCACAAATGCGTGGTTTCACGCGTACACACGCTAGTTGTGAACACAGCTTAATCAGGAGCGTCCAGCGTACTGCCCTCTAAAGTCATCCTCTCCCAACTGACATCGCAGCAGAGCACCACCTTGTTCCACAGCACATGCTAATGCTATGATACTGTTATTCCTACGTTCATGCGACACTGCACATACCATTGACAGCTGAACTCATTGGAGATGGATGGGCGTGGATGTAGTCGTTGAGATAAATTGAGTTGGCGGCTGACAGAAGGATAACCTTTGCAAGGCAAAATATACACAGCACAAACTCGGATACTTCCAAGAAGGTCACAGAATATTTTACCAACCGTTCTTCTGTCAGTGAACTACAACTTTAAGCTACAGAATTAACGTCATTTTAAGCTTTGTATCATTCTATTGCATCATACTCAATTTCAATTACAGTCGACTCCACTTATAACGAACTCGCATATTATAGCGAATTTTGTGATATAGCGGACCATTGTCCATGTCCCTGTTTGAACCCACACAAAATGGACCCTTTATAGCAAACAGTTTTCGTTTATAATGAACCAAATCTTGTAGGGCCGCATGTAAACCAAGTGCACTCGTACTGTCATGGGCCACATATCAAGTCAATCCCACTCATGACTTGCTGCTTGTATAGTGTGAGTGCATTTCTGTTATAACAAACTTCGGCTATAAAGAACTAATTCTCCTGCACAACGGTGTTCGTTATATCAGGAGTCGACTGCATACACTTACTTACCCGCTTCTTGTAGATGTCAACCATCTGTTTTGCTGTTGGCCATGCAGTACTGCTCACACCTGTTTGCTGAATGTTGTCCGACGATACATGGCATAACAGACAAATGCACACAACCATGACAGACATCTTGACTAGTTTGAGGGAAGGAAATCATGACATCGTAACCACAGTGGTAGCGATACACATGACACATTAAAAAGTATCAAAGAAGAGAGTTTCGAAGGATTCACAAACTCCATTGCAGACATTAAAATTCAAAAAGAGGACCAACAGTTTACAAGTTATCCGTTTTTTCGTCCTCTTTTGAATTTTAATCCTTGGCTCTCCATCCGAGTTTAAGCAGACATTAAACATCACCTTTTTTTCAAACACGCAAACATGGTCTCTCTCTCCGCTGCAGATATCGCTTCAGCTTCACCAAAATTTGAGATGAGAATATCTCTTAGCAAATACACACCGTGACACACACCCACCGGCAAGCACTCATACTCATACTCCTGCCCATCGCTGAAGCGATGATAGCGAACGAGCTATGTTAGACATAGCAACTTGTGCTGGGATTACACCATTCAACAGCTTCAATGCTGATGAATTGACCGCCACTAATTTTAGCCTGGTCTATACCACACGGCTGGTTGAAGTTGAAGTGGCTTTTTTCTGGCCAATGAATCCTTATTTTTCATTTTTCTCCTTTTTTTCTCTTTTGCACACACACACACACACACACATATATATATATACACACACACACACACACACACACACACACACACACACACACCACGCCACACACTCCGACATGCACTGGCTGTTGGTAACCACTCAGGAGCACGAAAGAAGAGCTAGGAGAATGAGAAAGAGAAGAAAGAAGGCACACACTCACACACACACACACACACACACACACACACACACACACACACACACGTGTACACACACACACACACACACACACAGAGGGGGGGGGGAGAGCGTGGTACTTCAAAGTTTCAGGCTGCTTCGGATGGTCATGTGATGTGAAATGGTGTACAAAGCTCCAAGATCACCATTTTTCTTCCTTCGAATAGTGCAGTCAAGGATACTGGCTCAGCTAGCTCCTTTCGAATTTTTGCTGTCAACTGCACTCAGCACGAGGGAGGGGGGGGGGGTGGAAATCCGAAATTCGGATCAAGCTTCAGGCGAGCATCAAGCCAATGGTGCTTCTCAGGAGAATTCAACGAAGCTGGTACAGTAACCATATAGCATTCTCCCCTAATTATTACTATCGGCTGCTGCTCCCAAATGTGTTGCTGAAGGCTCCGACATCTGGACTTGCAAACCAACATGCTTCTTATTTTTCCACGAATGGCAAAGACAAGCAAGGAAGCTGCAACAAAAAAAACATGTGTAGTGACACTTCACACAGGTAAATCAGTGTGCTGCGCCACATGCGCGTTTACAAGCAATGCACTGATGCTAAAGTAGAGTGCTTACGTCGGGACTCTAACCCACTACGCGCCCCCCCCCCCCCTCCAACCGGCAACTGGCATTGCTGTTCTAACGCTTGTAAACTGAGGTACCAACGACGTTTTTTACGGAGCTGATCCGGCGAAGCCTAGCTGCTTCGCTTGCCAATTCGCATTTGACAAATGCCCACACCTATATACACATGTGCACAACAATCTAGCACCAACACAATTCATACAGCTTACAATACACTGTTTTAAAAGGCTTTGACTTACAGAACGGAAGCTTGCAAGCTGCTGGACAGTGAGTGCCTGGCTGGCAAGTGTTGACTGAACTACATGCAATATATGCATTGCAGCGGCATCCTTGTTCTGCAACAGAGAACAACAACAACACATCGAACTACATTCAATACGTGCATGGCAGCAGCCTTGTTTTGCAAACGAATAGGACAACAACACATAGGACAAAATTTAATGTTGACATAGCTGTGGGAAATAACCACTTTTAAATGAAATGTCCAAACCTACTGTGAGTGAAAGTTTAGAACCACGTGACAACATGCATGGCACCATTGTGCTAGTATCGGAGAGGATATGGAATGGAAGAAGAAACACCTGGATTGCCTGCTCCAAATTCGCGTCCGATACTCGTGTGCAACAGGAGATCTAGTGACTGGAAACTCCTATTACCTAAAATTCCTGGAAACTCTTCTTTCAGCAAACCACTGGAGTCAATCTTGTACACACAGCATTTCATGTGAATTTCGTGTGTGACCTGGTTCTCTGTACAACCTGTTCTCCACACAACATTGAACCACTCAGGATGCATGGCCGCCGCATAATCCATATCCAATGGATCAATTAGTTACTCAATGCTAAAAACAACTTTTAATCAGAATCATGGTGCTCATTTCATCATGGAGATAAAACACTGGGTTGGCATTACAGGTGTTAGATAGGAATACATACATTATATGACATGCACATGTACTTGACTTGTTACACCAGCCTCACCTTCTATCCTCTTTTACATGCACTACTAATACTATACTATGCGCTGTATTCATGTATTGTTCCCACACACTTTCGAGGTTGACCTTAGATAGCACACTGGAGACCTTTTGATGCATTTCACTTTCACTCAGCCGCACTTTTAGTTATCTACACTAACAGCTGTACATACATCCTAATGCCCCCTTTCAACAGTTGTCCTCCTGGTATTATTGCACGCCTACATGTATACGATGTATTGTACACCCTTCTATTCAGTTCTTTCTCTGCAACGTATTCCTCTTGCGCAGGTGCCATGTCCCGACCTTTCCCATTCTTCTGCCCACACAATCATGTACCTTGTAGTTTGACCTTTCTTCTTACTTCTCTCTGCTCTACGTATCCCCTGACCATAGGCTAGCTTACTTACTCACCCTATAAAAGCTGCTGCCTTTCTAGTTTCCTACGGGATTAGTTTCTTGCCGATTAAGATCAGTTCCTACCTCTTAGATTCGTGCTAGAGAACTCTTTCTCTCTCTCTCTGAATAAGTGTGCAATTCTGTATGATAACCATTATCCATTACTGTAACTGCTTGCTCTACCGACTGAGCGAACCCGGGACTTAACACAGGTACCCAGGGTGTTTGGACCGTGCTTCAGTGCGAATCGAGTACGTGCGCCGGGCATTGTGATCAACCATCTTCTACAGATGTGAAGAAACAGTCTCTGCCTCAGGGTGTACAGTAGAGAGAGGGGGCATGGTTAGAGGGAGTCCTACCCAACGTTTCCGGTGGGCATGGCAAGAGTGCCATGCTTCACAGGCTAAACTGCTTCACAGGCCAAACTGCTTCACAGGCTCAGCTACTTAACATGCTCAACCGGTTCATAGATTCCACTTTTTCAGACTATTCCTTGAAACCAGGCAGGGCGTCAAACACGCTATGCTCACACCAATATTGACCTTATTACTTCTCACCTTGGGCACCCCGGAAATTAATGTGCTTCTGAAGTATACAATTCATTGATATTGGTCCAATTTTTGGATTTTATTCAAGTGGAGGGCTCCTGAACTGACAACTTCAATGGCTGACCATACACGTACCATCCTAAAACACTTTCCAACGCCACTGACTTAACTTCCTTCAGATGCCTCAGTGGATGACCAAAGTAGGTTATGCAAATAATTGCATGCTGGTGGACTAGCAGATTCGTTTACGGTACCAAGTATACCGCATGACTTGGCGGATTTGCATAATGTGAGCTAAGTATGCAGCACAAGTTCGGTTTCGCTTGCGCTAGTGCATCGCTGTGCGCCGCGACTTTTCCAAAGCATCTAAACAGATGATGTAATAACCTCTATACTAATCCTGGCTGTCCTATAGATAGGAGATGTCACTGTGCCCTCAAAGCACACTGTACGTGAACAAGTTAAGCAAATAACTGTGTGCATGCATGGTGCCTGTACATACGGTTGAGCCGACAACAGGTGTGATGAAATCATTCAAGTCCAGGACAAGAACGTCGTATGTCAGATTGGCAGCATTTTGACTGAGCCAGTTGCTAATCTGCACAAACCAGCTTGAATGGTTAGAGCACTCTGTACGAGAAAGCAAATTAATAATGCAGAATCAATCAACAATAAGTGAGTACACTCGGACGTCTCTTATCCGGGCACCTTGGGACCGGGCACTGCCCGTATCTCAGATTTGCCCGCATCTCAGGATAACTCATCTATCACGTACCATATCAGTTTTTGATGAAGTTTATTTGGCACGTATTGCACATGCTCAGGATAAAATAGAATCCTTTGATGAAAACGTGGGGATTACACAAGTTGGCAGTGACAAATATGCAATTGTGCATACGAAAAAAGGTTCAAAATCCCCAAATCCGAAGCATTTTGCCATAGTGACCTCAAGCTGAAGGTGCCCGGTAGAGAGACGTGCCCGTATCTGAGGCGTCCGGATAAGAGACGTTTGAGTGTACAGTGCAGTGCAGGCACTGACCCGTGATATTGTACATGAGATGGCCTTTGGAGGAGAGATTCTTAGATCCAGGCATTTGCACTCTGCTTGCACTACACTCCCATCCATCCAACTAACACAGCAATAGAACCAGCTAGCGGCAGAAGGCAAGTGCCTGGGTCAGGATCATTCTAGGCTACAGGAAGTGCACCGATTATTTCAGGAGACTGAGCTAGTCATATTTTTGTGACACAGGTTCAGCTAGCACGCAAAGGCAGAGAATAAGTTCATTGAAAAATGGATTTGAGGGAGAATACAACTTGGTGCATGTGCTGATGAATTCGCAACTTGAACATGCTGTGAAACAGTACTGACCTGGCAGTCCGATCCCCCCCCCCCCCTTCCTCCTAGGCGACCCCTTGCCCGGGGTATGGGGCAATGCTACCTACCCTATTTCCCTGGTTATTAGGGACTGCTACCTACACCCTTGTCTGCCGGGGTTACGAGGTAATGCTGCCTACCCCTTGTCTGCCGGGGTTACGAGGTAATGCTGCCTACCCCTTGTCTGCCGGGGTTACGAGGTAATGCTGCCTACCCCTTGTCTGCCGGGGTTACGAGGTAATGCTACCTACACCCTTGTCTGCCGGGGTTACGAGGTAATGCTGCCTACCCCTTGTCTGCCGGGGTTACGAGGTAATGCTGCCTACCCCTTGTCTGCCGGGGTTACGAGGTAATGCTACCTACACCCTTGTCTGCCGGGGTTATGAGGTAATGCTGCCTACCCCATGGCCAGATCATGAGGCAGTCCTACTACCTAAAATTCCTAGATTTAAAGTTTTGATTCTATGTAAACTTCTTCAACAAACATCGCCGACACCGAACAATTCATGTGACACTGGCCGGCTTACCGACGTGCAGCCTGTGGTGTACTGATCAATTGTAGGTACTCCCAGAATAGAGGAACAGGCATCGAAGGGCTTTAGTGCGTTATACAAATTCTGCAGGCAGAGAAGAGGAGAGGAGAGAAGACCACCAGGCATTTGTGACACTTCTTGTCTGATGGTCGAGAAAAGTATGGATCATGAAAAAATGATAATATCACCATAAACATTGTGTGCAGGTGCTTGGGTTCGTAATCACAATACTTACTACGCCAGTCATAACGAGAATCTGCCCGATTATACCATCCCTTCATGGCCTTCAGAGCCTTGAGATCTGAGCTAACACAGCCTTTCCAGCGCTTGCGTGGACCGCCAGGTGGACGGCGGGGTGGAAGCAATCCAAATAGTAGGAACATCGGGATATGCTCTGATGCGGGCATTACTTAGCCAAGCCATTCTAGTTGTCGCTTGCGAAGCCAAACCGATAGTGGGTTCTCGTCTCCCCACATCTCCAGCAGCCGATCATTGCTGATGCATTCTTGCCAGGCATCTATCCTTGGAAGGTGTGCAAGCACAACATGAATAAAGTAGAGAGCCTACGAATGCCGGGCTGGAGGGGCATGCAGCACTCAGCTCGTTACACCGGATGGAGACAACACACACACACCTTGAACATGTTACTCCTGGTGCAAACGGACAGTTGGTGGTTGGAGAACACTGGCTTCTGAAGTGAGCCAAATACACAGGACAATGCCGCGATATTGAACGAGATGTCCAATGAGCAATGGTCAGAGGTGTCAATGATCGACCCAAGGTAGAGTCACTCCTCACCACTCACAATCTGGTTTGAACCAACACAAACGGGAGGGAAGCCCGCATCAGAAACTCCTCTGCCCGTCACAAAAAAGTGGACCTTGGTTTCCAGGAGACTAACTGCCAGTCCAAATGTTGAAGTGACTGCATTAAATACCACAGCTTGCTCGAGGCCGGATCAAGCGATTGCAAAACAGCTTGGAATCGTCTGCGAATTGGCATTCAGCTTCATAGTATGGTAGTGCTGTGTAGCAGGGCTTCTGCAGTAATAGCCCACTGGTGTGATGGTGGATATCAACACCGAAACCATCCACACCTTCTATCTGCTGTTCCCAGGTATGAAACACGGTGGCCATATACAAGTTGAACAGCGCTGGTGCCATGGAGCAGCCCTAACGCAGCCTATTCTGCACTTTTAGAAGGTCAAACAGCTGACCATTAATGCGTAGACAGGTCTCCATGTTCTTACGAAATGCTCGGATTATGGACACACGTGCACACACACACACACATACACACACACACACACACACACACACACACACACACCATTTGGACCATTTGACGCCCATCGCAGGAGGCGATGATAGCGATGCTGCAGCAAAGCCATAGCAGCTTGTGCTGGGATTGCACCATTCAACAGCTTGCAAGGCTGAAGAATTGACCGCCACTATTCAGCCTGGTCTACACACACAGCTATGAAGTGGCTTTTTTCTGGCCAGAGAATCCCTACTTTTTGGTCTTTTTCATTTTTTTCCACGCACAACATCACACCACGTACTCCGGCATGCACTGGCTGTTGGCAAGAGTACATAACCCCAAGAGTGTGCAACTGCCTGCACAACCTCTATGCTGTGCTGCGACGGCAGAACTTCACATCACGTGACATGGTTCAAACGGTTATGCTGGCAAACAGTGCAAAGTGACCACAAGAGAGTTGTACCGAAAGCTGGGCTGCGTACAACCCAGTATCTATCATGCACAGAGTGCACGGGTTCATCACGTGATGTGAAGTTCTGCCGTCGCAGACCCCATAGCTGGAGTTGCACACTCTTGGGGTTATGTACTCTTGCTGTTGGTAACCACCCAGGAGAATGAAAGAAAAGTCAGGAGAAGTCTGAGAAAGAGAAGAAAGACGTGTGTGACCATAATCATCGGGAATCGAACCCGCAACCTATCGATTGGAAATCGTTGCACATACCACTGCACCATATGGGACACACACACACACACACACACACACACACACGCACACACACACACACACAGTGGTGTATTTACCTGACATCCTGTGTAAAAGTACGAATCACTACGACACATCCTGTACTTGTCCACACCAAACACAGTGGCAGTGTAATGAAGGTTGAGTGACAGCCTGCGAACTCCTAATGACAACAGGCTTCCGATGCTGCATGAGAACGAGATGCATGCAGTCAAGGGCAGTATTACAACATGCACACACACACACACACACACACACACACACACACACACACACACACACACACACACACACACACACACACACACACACACACCTCAGACCTCAGACCTGCCCATCGCGGAAGCAATGATAGCGAACAGCTATGTTAGACAGCAACTTGTGCTGGGATTACACCATTCAACAGCTTGCAAGGCTGATGAATTGACCGCCACTAATTTTAGCCTGTTATCCACCACACAGCTGATTGCTGACACACACACACGCGCACACACACACACACACACACACACACACACACACACACACACAGCGCACAGCACAGCACACGGATTTTAGTGGTAGGTGCAATCTTAATAATATTATACAGCTGAGCTATGAAAATTTTGAGTTCACTCAACTCGGAAAATTTTGAATTTTTCTGACCCCCTTGGCACTGAAAGGGGTAAGGGTTAACGGACAAGGTGTGATGGACAATGTTGCCGTGCATGTTGCAGTGCAGGGGTAAGTGTGATGTAGTGCTGGGCCTGCCTGTGTACTCAGTCGTATACATACACACCTGAGCATGTATGATGTACATGTATCATAAAGTAAGCCAAATGACCTGTGATAACTGACAACTGTCTTCCACATTCATGTACTTTACTACGTGTGAATATGACTGTACTGATCTTAAGGGCAGTTCATAATTTCGGCTCTAGAGTTTGCATGGTCAAGAACAGTGAAGAGCAGCATGACCACCATCCTATCTGTACACATACTTCGTCTTGGTCCATATCACTACAGTCATGATCAATGAAATTTGATCACATGACTTAGTTATCAGCTGGTGGAGTCTACCAGCGTACAGCATAGTGTTTGCACTTTGCTGGTCTGAGTCTGCATAGCGTGACCACTGGCTGCTGTCATACAAACTAACTACATGTGTTCAGTCTTGATGGCTGGTTTCACTGAGCAGCGCCGGGATGATCGCCGAATTACTCGAGGACAGGAACAGCGGCTGCTGCAAGTGCCTTTCCTTCCTGGACCTTCTGGTCGTCAGTCATTGACATTTGTAGGAAGCACTCTTTGGAATGCCCTTCCCAGTGATATTCGCCTCCACAATGCGGCTTGTGCCTTTAAGCTGGCTCTGGACAGAATTGATTGTAATTTGTAACCAATGTTAAACGCGCTCCTTCCTCGCTCGGCATCACTTCCTTCATGGGTACCGCTTTGCTTGACATTCATCCCTCATCTTTATACTTTTAAAAGCAGTGTGAACACAATAACCCCCCCCCCCCCCATTCATCATACACATCACTGCATGTTATCCCTATGTGTTCTGCACTTCTTACATGTACACACACCCATTAAATTATATACTTTGGAATTCTCATTTTATGATTCTTTTTTAATATTTCCTGCTCTCATTATAATTATTATGTTATTCGTTCTTAGTAGGAACCGGAGGTTTTTGCCTCTGGTGAGAAAGCAGAATTGCCTGTGCTCTAAACGAATTCAAATAAAACAAACAAACAAACGCGGTAGTATCACATGCAGATCTATCTCCACTGTCCACATGAAATCTAAATGATCTAAATGATCAGCCTGCAGCATGTCAGGATAACAGCTACACTGCCTACAGTCAACTTCGCTAATAACGACTGCGGATATAACGACAATTCGCGAATAACGACATAATTTTCATGCCCAGAGCAAAGTCCCATCCAACTGTGACACGTATAATGAGACTTCAGGTATAACGACACTTCGCGAATAAGGACACTTTTCTGATGCCCCGCCGAGTGTCGTTATCAGCGAAGTTGACTGTATGTACCCTGTAGGCTGTTCCGAGAATACACTGTGACAGAGCATGTACATATGCGCCATGCCAATCTGATCCGTGACTGCCCTTACTTCTTTGTCACTTATTTTCTTCAAATAATAAATGGTTCAAGGCGTAGTGAAACATGCACCACTGCACACTGACCAGCAGCCAGTCAGACTGACCACGGTGATCGAGCCTGCCTCAGTTTTCTAACCATACCTTGCAATAGGGCTTGAAAGTGATGACGTCAAAAACGGCCAGGGAGTAGTAAGTTGACATCAGATTTCTATTTTGGATCCACTAAGGTGTGACTTTGCTATTGCCTCAGTATGTGGGTGCATAGCAACCCACTCATGTCGTATGCAGGGGTGACTTTTACTTCGCCACCAGTTGTAACCCCGCCCCCAGTAGCCAAATCAGTCAGTTTCACTGGCTACATCACCTTGCTGTGAGTAAGCTACATCACCTTGCTGTGAGTAAGACGGCTTGAAATGTGCTTGGATCCATACAAAAACTGGATCCAAGTGGATCCAGTTTTTGAATTTTTGAAATTGTTGCTATGCTGTGACGTAGCACTTTCAACCCCTATACCCACCATGATCATACTCTTGTTGTTACTAGCCACTCATCGAGACGCATAGCAACGTCAGCGCCATGGTTCCCACCGCATACTGGTGTGCCTCTACCCGCTGGTGCCCGAATCTCGTGTGTAGTGCTACTAGGATGTTACATGTACATAATATTATGTAGATATCTATAGTGCGCTATGATTTTGTTGCCATGCTGGTTTCAACGAGACATGCTATACACTGTACTGAGTCTGGCTGGCTGTCTGGTTCAGCCAGTGAGTTACAGACAGTAGCTGCACTGGACCCTACACGTGGCTTGCAGCAATGACCTCCATCACTGTGTGATTGTGGTTCGGTTGGGCAACCAACTGCACACAAACACACCAATCACTAGAGAGGTTTTGCGAATGATTTCATGGGCTGAGCCAGCGGACCCGCTTATCGGCGCTATGCAGGCAGCATAAGGGACTCAGTCGCTAGTGCAAGTACAGTACTACTGTGCAGCGGGTCCATGGCTTCGCCAAAGCATCTCAACTGATGATGTAATCGCATAACCTCCATACTCAGACTATAGGTTATGCAAATGATTTCATGATGGCGATTTTCAAAGGGGCGCTAAGTATGCAGCGTGAGTCGCTAGTGCAAGTGCAGCGCTGTGCTGCGAGTCCGCAACTTCGCCAGAGCATCTTAACTGATGATGGCATAACCTATACTACTCTAGTACTCTCTAGTCGTGGACGTGATATGACTATTTTTGAATGAGCAATAGGAAATTACCTTTTCACTTGGCTGTGGATTTGTGTGGTTCCTCTCAAACATCGACCAAATACGCACGCTTTCCCCATGCCCTTCTCCAAATCTGGTCGCGCTGCCTGCCATTGTAAAGGGGTATAGATCAGCTGGTTGGAAGCATCGTTGGCGCCGCATAATGCCAATTTCGATACATCAGTATCGGCCGTAAGGATAGCCTGTGCTCGAATTGCGCTTGTCAACCACGCCGGAGTAGTTGCTGCAGAAAGTGGTTGAGCAGAACAAGCCAGGAGCAACAGTAGGACAGCAGCCCGACAAACAGTTTGTCCGTGGGCCATTATTTTCGACAATGAATTCCAACTCCGTTTGCTCGTCGATGATACCATTGGATACTGGAAAACTCCTAAACTACACGTACATATGGACACACTAGCCTAGGATATTGTAGGACAGGACTAAAATCCTGTCGATACTTTCCCACCGGTAGCTCAAAATGATAATGATTCCTTGGATTATTGGAAAGTCGTTATCTTCGAGTGAGGAGCGATCGATCTGGGTTTCCCTACCATGGTCTACACCTGCGGACTATTTTGGCCCTTGACCAATGCCGCAATGGCAATGTAGACTGGGCTGACTTGTGTGAAGTCGAGAATGCAAAAATGCCGGTATGCTGCTGCCAGCCCTTTCGCCCAAGGGCCAAGGCAATATCGATGCTCGGCAGACAAGTGACCGCAGTATCCAGGTAAGAGTAGGCTACACTAATCTTACAGTCGTTGGTGGTCACAAGCCCAATACATGGCCGATTACTGCAGCCTGACTGAGTGACTGTCTTAGTGTCTACAGTCAGTGTAGATCTTCTGAGGGTGAGTTATCATATTATAATATCTTCGCTACCGTAGTGACCATGGTGACGCGCATTATTATAAGAGCATGACTGTGCATAGTATACCCGGCATAAGCACACCCTCACCAATAACTAATAAGCGCATGGGCTTATACATGAACCTAAATGCAGTCAATCCCGCGACAAGCAGACACCACAAAAACACCATAGTTATTCACATAGTTCAATGTGCATTGCGGTATTTTATTTATTTATTTATTTATTTAAAGAGTCGGCGTGGAGAAAGCAATTTTATTAGTGCAATTAGGAGTATAATCGATGCAGACATGGCCAGACAACAACGAGTTCATGGAATTTTTAAGGATTTTTATGTTATTCAAAATCGATTTTCGTGTTCCGCTCATCAGTGAATAGTATCGGAACTGAGGGTACTGTGTACAAAAATAGAACATTTTATAACAGCATAATTAATTAAAAGTGTGAACAACAAAGGAAGTGCTACAGCATTACATAATAGGTGTCAAACATAGTGCTAACGTATATAACTGAGTGCAGCCACAAAGCAAGAGGTGATACAGTGCAACATGACACAACATTTACATCTGATAACCAGCTACGAGAACAACTTTAGCGCGACTACGTGCTTCTTTTGTTTACAAAGAACAGGATTATGCACACGAATACATACAGCTTCCAGAACCTTCAACTGCTTAACATAACTTGCACGGCACAAAACAGAAAAGTGAGAATCATCGTACACACTAAGACAATCTGGACGTGATAACAAGTGACAAAATACAGCTGACTTTTTGCTCACGTCGCTCTCTTCCGTCTCATCCCGCTCCTTTCCTTCGACCTCCTCCGCCCTATCCTCGTCCTCCGTCTCATCTTCATCATCATCGTCCTCTTCATCATCATCGTATCAGACAACATGTGCCGTTGCACTTATTACCACCAGCAGCCAGAGCAAAGCGGCCAAAGCGTGGTAGGCCGTGTAAGAACCCAGTTAGCTCAGTAGACAAACACGCTGTGCCGACAGCGCCGCCTGTTCCCGCGCCACCACCGGCCCCACCACCTGGGTTGCCGTGGGTGGCTGGGGCTGGGGTGGGTTTGCCATCATTGACCTGGCCACCACTTCTCGACCCACTGCAAACGGCAGCGGAGCCTACTCTAGCACAACATCATCGTCCTGGAATGGAGGAGGGGCCACCGAGAGACACTGAACCTTCACCTCGGCAGTTGCCCTTGCCTCCACCTGAGCCACCCCCTTTACCTTTGGTGACTACCGAGACGGTGGTCCCCCCGGTGCTGGGATCCACGGTGCCGACTGTGTCTGGACAGAGAGGGAGATCACCGACAAACCAAAATGAAACCAATATCCTCACCCATAGACCCAGAAGAAGCACAGCAAACTATTCACTTGAAATTTATGCACGGAATGGACTTGGCCCACGCAAAATGGACAATGGAAATGGGTGTGCAGTAGCAGAGAACCCAACAACGGTGACGCGGAGCAGCGGTCAAACGACTTGTGATGCTGGTGGAGATGATGGAGCCATGTTGGAGGCTGATAAGGAGTGCAGTGAGACTGAGCATCAAACGGATGATGAGGTAGTGACTGATGATGATGATGGTGGTGATGAGGACGATGATGATGAAGATGAGACGGAGGACGAGGATAGGGCGGAGGAGGTCGAAGGAAAGGAGCGGGATGAGACGGAAGAGAGCGACGTGAGCAAAAAGTCAGCTGTATTTTGTCACTTGTTATCACGTCCAGATTGTCTTAGTGTGTACGATGATTCTCACTTTTCTGTTTTGTGCCGTGCAAGTTATGTTAAGCAGTTGAAGGTTCTGGAAGCTGTATGTATTCGTGTGCATAATCCTGTTCTTTGTAAACAAAAGAAGCACGTAGTCGCGCTAAAGTTGTTCTCGTAGCTGGTTATCAGATGTAAATGTTGTGTCATGTTGCACTGTATCACCTCTTGCTTTGTGGCTGCACTCAGTTATATACGTTAGCACTATGTTTGACACCTATTATGTAATGCTGTAGCACTTCCTTTGTTGTTCACACTTTTAATTAATTATGCTGTTATAAAATGTTCTATTTTTGTACACAGTACCCTCAGTTCCGATACTATTCACTGATGAGCGGAACACGAAAATCGATTTTGAATAACATAAAAATCCTTAAAAATTCCATGAACTCGTTGTTGTCTGGCCATGTCTGCATCGATTATACTCCTAATTTATTTATTTATTTATTTATTGCAGCATCTCATAGCACAGTGAGAACACCGGCCAATACAAAGAGAGAGGGTGTTAGCCAACCACGGCAAGGAAGGGAGAAGGGGAGGAGAAGAAAAAAGGAACCGGCATGGATAAGTAGTGATTGCAACAAAATGAGAAACGCAAAATCAAAGTCAAGGCGCGACAAGGCTCTTAAAAAGGCGGAGGGAAGAAAGGTCCTTAGCTTCTTGGGGAAGTGCCAGCCACGCAGAGTACGCAGTGAAAAGGGGAGAGTGAAGTAGAAAGGAGGACTTGGGTTTCGGAAGGGAAAGGGAGTTTCTCGTGCTACGGGAAGAAAACCAGTTGAAACAGTGGAGGTGAGGTGGACACAGATTGAGTTTGAGAGAATGGATAAGGGTGACAAGATGTGAATTACGTCTCTTAGACAAAGGGGTAGTGTGAGCAAGGGCATAAAGGGTGGAAGATGGGAGCATGCGGGGTTTCCGGAGGAGGATTTTTAGAACTTTTTTGTGCTGAATTTCGAGCTTTTCAGCACGGGTTGTGGAAATTCCAGCCCAAGCAGTATCTGCATAATCAAAAATGGGGCGTATGTAAGCTGAGTAAAAGAGGAGTTCACAAGAGATTGGGAGATGGTAACAGTGAGAAGAGAGGATTCCTAAAGATGAACTTGATCGTTTACATATGTAATCGATGTGGGGGTCCCATGAAAGATTAGAGTCAATGAAAATGCCAAGATGCTTATGGCTGGAGACTATGTCTATAGGCTGGGGGAAAGTGGGATGGAGGAGGGGCGGAACATCAGGCTGAGAAGGAAAGAGCATGATTTTAGTTTTAGACAGATTGGGCGATAACCGCCAAGACGCCATCCAGGAAATTACTCTTTGAATCCCGTTAGCTAGGTTACTCATCAGGCCAGTGATGTTAGGAGATGCCCGTAGGAGCGTTGTGTCGTCTGCGAATAGTGATGTGCCCGGGGCAGCTGCGGGCAGATCATTGACGTATAAGATAAAAAGAAGGGGGCCGAGGATGGAACCCTGGGGAACTCCGGATAGTACTGTTGTGTCGGCTGAGGACGTCCCATGTACCGTGACGTACTGCGTTCGCCCAGTTAGGTAAGATGTCAGCCATAGCAGGGGATTGCCGTCTACAGTAAACGATCCACGAAGCTTGGCCAAGAGCCCCCGGTGCCAGACGGTATCGAAGGCCTTGGCAAGATCGAAAAAACAGATCCCGACTAGGTCTCCAGCATCCCGATGTCGACACACTAATTGCACCAGGCGCGTCAGCTGGAGGGTGGTAGAATCGCCTCTGCGAAATCCGGACTGAGCTGAACTCAAACGTGACGAGACATGACAGTACAATTGGTCGTAGAAAACGCGCTCACAGAGTTTGGAAACACAGGACAGTAAAGATATCGGACGGTAGTTTGATGCTTCGTGGCGGGACCCTTTCTTGTAGATCGGTATAACATTAGCTGTTTTCCATGCAGAGGGAAAACGACCAGTGCGGAATGATAGGTTGAAAATCAGACATAAGGGGTATGCTATTGAGGGCGCAAGGGACTTTAATACCAGATTAGTGATGCCGTCTGGGCCTGGCGCCTTGTCAGACGGGAGCTTTCGAATGTAACGTCGGATGGCAACAGTCGTAGTAAAGACAGATGTGAGGCGGTCAGCCTCACCCGACTCCTCGGCAATGGGGGGAATGGGTAGAGAAGGGTCATCAGGCACGGCCACTGAGGCGAACTGAGAGTTCAATGCAGTGGCTTTAGCTGAAGAGGTAGTAGCCTGCTGTGTAGAACTAATGGTGAGTGTCGGGATGTCACGAGATACTTTATGATTTTTTAATTTGCTCACGAACTGAAACAGTGATGGGCGGTTTTTGTCCTGCAGCGTAGCTTGTACGGACCGAATGTATCCCCGGTATTTCGATCGAGTCAGACTCTTCACCAAGTTCCGTTGAGATCGATATACATGCATGTTAAGCTGGGTTGGGTATTTCTTACACACACTGTAGAAATCGTGCTTTGCCTTAATGGCGGCACGGAGGGGGGCATCAACCCAAGGTGGCTGACCCAAACGTCGGCATGAGGGGGAGAGTGGACGCCGGGAGAAGTACCCGAGGTGCTTCTCCATGGCCCTGCTAAGAATAGAGTGGAAAGACGAAAGAGCATCATCCACGTGCGAGCTGCGGAGGTGACATTTCCAGTGGACATCAGCAAGTTCAGCATTCAGGTCATCCCATACGCAACGTGGCACCAACTTGAAATTGTAACCTGGGGATGTAGGGGTAGATGTTGGGAGGAAGTGATGTTGTAGGGTTGGATTTTTGGACGTGACAGGGAGACGGACTCGACAGATGAGCTGCACGTGGTCAGAGCTACCCAGTGGAGCGGCTGAATCAACGGAGAGGAACTGCTGGGGTGAATTTGTGACGATGAGGTCCAAGCAAGATGACCGGCCACTTGGGCTCCAGTGCGTAGGGAAGTTGACCAGT